GGGCCGCCTTCATCTGGCTCTGCGGCCCCATTTCCGGCATGATAGTCCAACCTATTGTTGGCTTCCACAGCGACCGCTGCACTTCCCGATTCGGACGCCGGCGTCCTTTCATTGCCGCCGGAGCTGTCTCTGTCGCCGTCGCCGTGTTCCTCATCGGCTACGCGGCCGACATGGGCTACATGTTTGGTGACTCCTTGGTCAAGAAAACCCGGCCTCGCGCCATCACCATATTCGTCGTCGGCTTCTGGATCCTCGACGTGGCCAACAACATGCTCCAGGGGCCGTGCCGGGCCCTCCTGGCCGACCTGGCCGCCGGCGACCAGCGCAAGACGCGAACCGCGAACTCGTTCTTCTCGTTCTTCATGGCCGTCGGGAACGTCCTCGGTTACGCTGCCGGGTCGTTCAGCAAACTCCACAAGATGTTCCCGTTCACGATGACCAAAGCCTGCGACGTCTACTGCGCGAACCTCAAGAGCTGCTTCTTTCTCTCCATTGCACTACTGGCGACTGTCGCCACCATTGCCCTCACGTACGTGAAGGAGAAGAAGGTGCCGTCGTCGGGTGATAAATCAACGAAGGAAGCCGGTGGTGCGGAGGGAAACGAAGAGGCGGAAGAAGGATCAAGATCGTCGCGACCAATGCCTTGCTTCGGGGAAATATGGGGTGCTCTGCGAGTGATGGAGAAGCCGATGTGGATCCTGCTACTAGTAACGTGTCTCAACTGGATTGCTTGGTTTCCGTTCTTGCTGTTCGACACTGATTGGATGGGGAAGGAGGTATTTGGCGGGCAGGTGGGAGAAGGGAGGGTTTACGATATGGGGGTGCGCGCCGGTGCATTGGGGCTCATGCTCAATTCCGTGGTGCTGGGAGTCACGTCCCTGAGCATCGAGGTTCTGGCGCGTGGGGTTGGGGGCGTCAAGAGGCTCTGGGGAATAGTGAACTTCATGCTCGCCATCGGTTTAGCGCTCACTGTGCTGATTACAAAAATCGCCGACCATTCAAGACGGTACACCGTCAGCCACGATGGCATCCTGGAGCCTCTGCCGCCCTCCGCCGGAGTGAAAGGTGGCGCGTTGGCTCTCTTTGCGGTGCTGGGCGTCCCCCTTGCGGTAAGTCGTTTGTGGAAAACAAACTAGTTAGAATCTTCTTTCTATTGGCCAAACACAACACAAAGAATGTTATTTACTAATTTTGACAATTTTGGTAATTATATATATTTTTTTCTTAAAAATATGAAGTGCTTTTCGGGCATTCTAAGAAAATTTTCCATTTTTACTTCCTTTTTGTTTGGAATCCAAAGAGGAAGAAGAATTAGGTAATTAATCAAGGGCTTTCAACTGTATCCATTTTAATTTCATTGAAAGAATAAAACTTCTTTCGTTTCTTTTCCCCCAGCGATAATGTATAGTTTGCATGAGCGAGAAAATACTAATCATTTAGGTGCACATTGCTTGCTGAAAGGTTCGGACACACAAAACACACACACACACACACACACAATTGAATCATTCTGAGCGTGACTGACTGTGATTGTAGGTTAACGATAAATTATTGATGATAAATTAATTATGAAATTAATCAAGGTGTTGAAGGAGTGGGCAATATAAATGATTGACTTTTTTAAAAAAATTGTGTTCATTTGCTGAATATATATTTGAATCTAAAATATTTTTATTTTTTACCCAGTTTTTAATGCAGTTTGTTTGGTTATATTAATTATAAATTACTGCCTGAAAAGATTTAAGATGAGCTGTTGAGGGTGCATGGGAGGTAGTGGATAATATTTCCTTGTGTCATTTTTCATATCCAGCGAGGAAACAGATTTAATCCTTTCAATGACTTGGAAAAAGTTGTGATCTCATTGAAGTGTGCCATTAATGCTCATGACTTTTTCGTGACAATATATCCATTAGTAATCCAAAACTAGATTTCCTTAAAAGAAAAATAATAATCTTATTTGCATGTTTGTTCCAACACTTGAAAGCAGTTTCTCCTTCCTAGTAGAGAAACAAAAAGGAGGAGAGAGTGAGAATCATGAAAGTGTTGGAAAAGCTTTTGATGCCAAAGTGAAAAAACCACACTAAAACTGGCTTCTTTGTGTTGTGCAGGTTACATTCAGTATTCCTTTCGCTCTAGCATCTATATTTTCCAACACTTCAGGGGCAGGCCAAGGTGACACCTTTCATTCATTTAGTCAATCCACCTAATTTGGTTTGAGATTAAATTAAACATCATCTAACTCTTTCATTTTTTGTGAATAAATTTGCAGGGCTATCTTTGGGAGTTCTCAATCTTTCAATTGTCATTCCACAGGTTTGAATTTGAACTGCCTCACTTCATATGTTTTTACCCATGCATATGAATTGATTGATACTAACATATATGGCAATTACTAATTAGTATACTAATTATTTGCGTGTATAGATGGTGATTTCTGTGGCAAGTGGACCATGGGATGCTTTGTTTGGTGGTGGCAACTTGCCAGCATTTGTGGTGGGCTCGGTGGCAGCGGCGATCAGTGGCGTATTAGCGATATTTCTACTGCCATCTCCAGCGCCGGATTTGGCCAACGCAGCCGCGGTGGCGGCCGGAGGCTTCCATTAAATAGTTGGACTTTTCTTGCTTTACATTTTCTCACTTGTTTTATATGTGGAAAAACTTTTTCCTTTCCTTTCTTTTCTTTCTTTCTTTGTTTTTCCTGGGGCTTGGAAAGTAGGTGTTGTTGCTTGTGTATAAGGTCAGAAAATATGATATGGAAGACTTAGAGAGATCAGTCACTGTAACTGTAAAGTTATATGGCTGTGTATAGGCTGTCTAAGCAGGCCCATCAAATATTTTCTTTATATTGAATATTAATGTTAGTCCATCTTTCATCAAGTATCCATTTCAATTATGTCATTCATTATCAAATAGTGTTGCGCATTTTCTTCTCTCTCTAGTCCTATCACAATCATGGAACATGTTCATTGGCAAAAACAAATTAAAAGGTCACGGAACATGTTCTGTAGGAGAAGTATTTGCTATGAAAATACGGTCAAAATCTAAACACCATGTACAATGAAATACAAAATTATATCTTTTTATTCAAAAATATAAGATATTATGTTAAAAATTATAAAGTAATTTTATTTTTTTAATGTGTAATTATTATTTTTTTAAAAAAAGTGCCCTTAATAAATAAATCACTTTATATTTAATTTAGATCAAAATAACTCATTAAATAGGGATAAACATATAAAGATAATATTAGTTTGAAGACAAGTAACTATTTTATTAGGAGTGAGCTTCGGTTAAAAATATTTTAAATATTTTAATGGAGGGTGTATCCTACAATGACTTTTAATTGTTGTTCCTTTTTATGTTTTCTCTACAACACTGAATTAGCAGTCTTCTTAACTGATAGTTTGCTACTGGAACTCATTTTCCTCTTGACTCTATCACAAACTTGTGGACTCATTGTTGGAGAAGAACCAAGTGAGAAATTAATTGTAATTTATTGTGATAATTTTTAATTACCATTATAAGTTATAACGGCTAAACTCTTAAATTATTGGTCTGATTGCTATGACAATGAGTGCCTCCTATAGTAGAATTTGATAAATCTTTGACCTTGGATGTGTTCGACCATGATGATCTATGACTAAATGAAATTACTAACATATTATTGTCATTGTAGTTGTATTTAAATTAGATCAGTCAATTAAATATTCACAAAAGTTTAAGAAAAAGAAAAGAAAACAGGCATTATTACAACCAGATATGCACTTGGAATGCATGTAAAAAAGAATATGACAAATTCTATGTTATTTGCAGCACTACAATATACACGGCTGATATTCATGCACAGCTCAAAAAGTTTCTAAGAATAATAATTTTTTGTCACTTTTTTGGCTGAAACATTTAAAAATACATAAGTTTGTTTGGGTTGGAATGGAGCCTTATTAATTTTGCTTAAGAATTTATGTTATTACTTAATTACGGAATTCACTAAAAAAGAAAAAAGACTCAAGATTTGATCTATAAAAGTTCATTTTCCAGTTTAGGGATGATAATTTACACAAGTTTTTTTTTTAAAAAAAATAATGAACAATTTTGGAATTGCAAAGAGCACTAATACTAGTAGCTTCAATTTAAGGTGGGCGTTCGTCAAAAAAAAAAAAACATTGTTTCCCTATCAATGAATTTCTTAAATTTCTGACAAGTGACCCAATATATATAATACACAGAGCATATATCAGCACCAACCACCAAGACGACCACACTTTCAAACCCTACATTGCTTCATCTTCTTCATTCTCACAAAGCTTTCTTTTCCAGAACTTGCTTGTCTCTCCACCATTATACGGGCACCCCATTCCCCGCGTGGTCTTTGTCTACTGTCTCCCAAGATTTGCCCCTTACCTCAATCACAACTACATCAGAATATTCTTCCTTTCTCAGGAAAAACAATTGAACAATTTAAAAGCCACCATAACCCCTCTATCTTTTATTCTGCAAAATTTAATGTATCTTAATTGTTTCAAAAAAGATTTATTTCAAAATTACATTGCAAAAAAAGGATAAATTATTCAACAAATATAAGGGTATGAAGTAATGAAACTGAGGCAAATTATAAGAATATGTGAAATAATTTTCCCTTTTCTTTTTGGTGAAAAATGAGCAATTTATTTGTTCGGAAAACTCAACTCCCAAAAATTCACCAACTCATTTAAAAATAAGAGTGAGGATAATGTTTTAGAATTTAAATTTTTAACCACTTGTTTAAGTAGTGATAACTTCTACCACTCGGGCCAATTTTAATGGATTAGAGTAAGTTTTATTCTCTTGTTAAAGATGTTTTTGTGACAAAATACCTAAGGCAAGCTAGCCCAATTCAATGGCCCAGAAAGGCGTAGCCTCACTCCGAATTCTTTCCGGCCCATTTTTGGTTCAACAAAGGACCCGCATCGAGAAGTCAGAAAACATAGTTTTTGTTTTTATTTTTTATTTTATTTTTCAAATAACCCGGATTAGTGAGACCGGGAAGGAGTCAGACGTAGTAGGAGATTCGTGCCAGTGCTAGATGCCGCAGCTCTGAAGAAGGCTTGTGATCTGTGAGGGAAGTTAAATCTCTGCATTTTCCCCAGATTCTTGTGGAATCCATCTTCCATGGATAATCTCAAATCTGTCGTGGATGAGCACTTCGACCAAGTAGCAGATCTTGTCCAAAAGTTGTCTTCGGAACTTCGCGCTGGCTTTCGCCCTGCTATCGACAATTTCTTGGGTTTTTTCCATGCCATCAATTGGAAGGTCCTTCCCAAGCCCTTAACTGTATTTTGTCTGTTCTTTTTTTCACCCGGAAGTGTGAACCATGAGTGGATCAACGGGGAAAATGGTATGCTATTTGGTCGGGCTTATAATTCTTGTCGACCACGCGATTTTTGTTTCAGATCTTATGCTTAGATGTCTTGCTTCCTTTCTGATTTGCTTGTAAAGCATGTTACTAAACAAATAGTTGATCTGTTCTCCATGGACGGTAATTTGGTTATATAGATATTCCAGCATAAATTCTCTTCAAATTCAATGCATTGAAATAGTAAAAACTTTTGAGTGAGCTAAGGGAACCAACATATATATAATATTATGAAAAAAGTGTAAAGGCTTGCACTACACATTATCGCAAAGAAAGCTATATTCCTGAGGAAATAGACAGGGAAAAACCAAAGATTGTGTAGCTATTTATGTTAATATTATAGAAACCTGCCCCTGGTGAAGTTTAAAATACGCATCATATATACACACATGAATCAGGCGTGCTGTCAGGATTAAAAATTAATTTGTATATGTCTTTTATCATGATTTTAACTCCCTGGTGGTAAATATGGCACTGCCAATGTTTCCTTGGTTCGCAATATCTTTTTCAGGAACCTTGGCTAATGGGCTTACTAGCATTCCATGTGGTGTTGCTGCTCGTCGTTATAATCTCAAGGAAGCATACCAACTTTCAAATGAGCTTGTTTTTATTAGCATGTAAGTTTAACTCTCTAATGTCTCTTTGGAACTGTTTTTGAGTCATATAGGTTTAGTTATAACCTCTCTAGCATCTAATATTTTATTATATAGCTTTTCTACTTTAATTATTACCTTCTCCTTGATGAAGTCACTGCCTAGTCTCTGCTTTTCTAAACTGGCATTAATGCATGCAAGAAATTGGCTTTGAAATCAAACCTGAAATTGTGATATAAGTGAGTTGAGATCTAGAGATAGATCTTGTGCACCTTGAAAGGTTTAAATTATAGTAAAATAATCCCTAATCCATAACTGTTGAGTAAACGAAGATATCCTTTTAATTCTGTGAAACTGCTAAATCTAATCTCTACGCAGAATTTCAAAGTGTTGGAAGTGTTCAAGATTTTGGTTGTTTGGTTTGAAACGAAGAGTTGAAAGTTTTATTTATCCTAGCCAAAGGTGTGATTCAGATCCACAGTGCTATTATCGCAAATCAAGTTGTGCCATTCAACCACAAATAGCAGTCTTTAAGGCAGTACAGGAGCCCAGAGACCATGTATACATCTGAACTTAAGTAGTATTTATGTTTAAACAAGACCGGTGTGTGCCTAGTCTCTGGAAACTGCTGCATAATGAACTTGTCATAGAGATTTTTCCCCCTTTTTTCTCTGTGACTGAGTCATTACATTATTTATAAGTTAATGCAATTTTCTGTGATTTCGTTGGTGTTCTTTCAAAATTTTGTGTGTACCTTACGCAGTATCAACCTGCCATGATTATTGTCATCACAATTCCTAGCAGATACTCCTGAATATCTTGCTGATAGGCTTGATAGTGCAAATTCTCTAACCTAGTGTTTATGATGTTGCAGTGGCTGGTGTGTATCTTGCTGAGAGGCTTAATAGTTTTCTGGGGAAGAACTGGAAGAGCTTTGCTGGGCAAAACTATTTCGATTCCCATGGACTGTTTCTGTCAGTACTGTGGTCTGGGCCTCTTCTGGTCATTGCAATGATAATCTTGGTCAGTGTTTACCATCAAAATTCGGCTCAATTTAGATAGCTGTGATCTAAATAGACGAGAAAGTGACTGGAAGCATCTTTGACTCCTCTATGCAGATAAACACACTCTTCTCCTTGTGTTACATGATTGTTAGGTGGAAAAGAGCTGAGCTCAGACATCGGGCAAGGCTAGCTCGCAGCAAGCAGGACTAGTTTGTTTCTAGCAGTATTGTGCCTATGAGGTGATAAACTGACGGCTATGCAAAAGAATTCTTTGTTATTGTGATTTTACCATCATCTTAATTTTCGTTGTGTGTATTACGATCACTTACAAAGGAAATAGGTTGGTTTGGTGCACCCTGCTCTATTTCTTTTCTAAACTTACCTTATTTTTTGGAATATCAACAGCAGTTTTGTCCGGGCAGTTACAGCAAACAGCTGGGTGCACTTGGAAAGGTAACGGTGACCACCGCAATAATGTTGCCAACAACTTTAATTAACAACGGCTAAGATGAGACATTCATCTTTTGTAACGAGTGTGTTACGTTAGCAATGCGGACGTAGCATTTAAACCATTCCCTGATTTTCAAAGGATTTAAAAGAAACAAAATAAGAAGCAAGAAACAAAATAAGAAGCAATACCAAAAGATGACGCGGTCTGAAAGAACTGAACTTAGTCACTGAAACAAATCAATCCCATCAAAATTTCGTTTTTCAGGGGTAATGAATGCGGCCAGCAACTGAATGCTAACTTGAGTCTTGGACAAAAGCTTCCTTTACAGAAGTTGATGAAAGAATCCGAATCACCTCATAGTCATAGAGTTGAATACAGGGAGTCTCATTAACTGAAAGCCTTGATGGAGTAACATGAAATTATTAGGTGGAACGTAGATGTGAATTTCGGCAAAGCCATCATCCAGGGGTGACCAGTCTGAGTGAAAACAAAAAAAAAAAAAAAAAAAAAAGATTCCCCTTCATCCTTCTTTGAGCCATTTGCATGTTCAGGCCCACACTCATCCTTTCTTGGGCTGTTTGCACTATTCTTGAGCCCTCCTTTAACAACTTGTGACTATGTTAACTTCACTGCTCTCAGCTCAACTTGCTCTTTCTTTTATATGCAAAAAAAAAAAAAAAAACCATTGCTCTTTCTATTCCTCAGCTCCCTGTCCTCGGCTGCGGCTAGGATGGCTACGCCAGTTTTAAAGTAAGTCACAAATCATTAATAAAAAAGTATGCCCGATTTTCCACCCTCAATGTCATTAAAATGATGAGAACAATATACATACGTACATATGTAGAGAGGGAGGGAGGGAGTTACAAAGAAATATATGGAAGAAATGAAAATTAACAAACTTGAATCCTAATTATTGATCATCCTTCGGGCACTAAACCATCAAGATAACCAACTCGGACGTTTTCTTCATCCTCCTATTGGAACTCGGCACCGACTCTATTCCTTCTGGCAATTGAATTTCTTTCAGGCCAATCTTTTCGACACAAGAATTCAACATTTATAAAAATTTACTCCATTTTCTGCATGAGAAATCTATCTTAATAATAATGATCAAGTTCAACTGCTATTCAAGATTCTATAATCAATGAAAAGCCTTCATTTGATCCCATCTGGCAGGTAATATAAACATATAGAAGTATAACAGATTTAATGTAAATGCACCTCATCACCTGGTCGTCCAATGCAGGCATGCTCTTCTTCTTTCAGAAAAATTTACCTCCGGAGCCGAACTTACTGTTTCATCAACTGGTAATGCTATTACTCACTCCATCTTTATATAAAAAAGAAATTTTTTAAAATCTTTTTTTATCTCTAAATATAAGAGGTCGTTAGTAGTTTTTTTTTTTAAATGAATGAACCATTATACTTGTATTAAATTGGAAAGAGAAAGAGATAAATATTTTCATTAATTTACTTTAAAAAAGAGATTCATTTTTTATTTACAATAATTAGGGGTTAAATTGAAATATTACTATGCTTTTAATTAGATAATCAACTTTTATTAGTTTGTGTGATTTAATTAAAAATATTTTATAGATAGAGATGGAAAGAATATATATTAAACAAGTTTGATGGTTTGTTAAAAAGAGGTAACTAATAACTAAATATCTGTCATTGCTAGTTAATATATAACTAACTAATTGTGGACGCTTCAGTGCTTACCTTAGCCGTGGTAGTTAATATAATATCCTCCATAAATGCAGTTCTTCTTTGGGAGACTCAAACATGTGAGGTATTATGCACCAAATTTTTAAAATTACGGTAAATAGAGTAAACTTGTTTATGTTAATTGTCTAATTTGATATATTAATAAATTTGTTGTTGGTCAAAAAAAAATATATTAATAAATTTGTTGTTTTATTTATTCATTTATTTTTAACAATGAGTATATTTTTTTCAGAATAATTTAATTCTGCATCTATATGATATATTATCGGTTCAATTGGAAATAACTCTCACGATTGATGAATCAGAGTTTTAATGCATTAAGTTTAAAATGTAATGAACAACTCTTGAATTTTAATTAACTTAAAAGTTTAATAACTTAACTTTTTTTTTTTTTGAAAAAAGAAACCTACATTTCCATTTTCCAATTTTCACAGTTCAGCAGCCAGTATTCTTATCTCCTTTTTATAGCCTGTAGCCATAACTTCCTTTCTTATTTTGAAACTGCTTTCATCCCATTAAATTGAAAATAAAGTAAATTATTTATTGTTTTCCCTACCACACCAAACACAATCATTCCGTTCCATCAAAACCTATTTTCATCTTTATTCCAATTCTTATTCACATTTTTGGCAAAAAAAAAAAAATCTTATTCACATTGTAATTCCGACAAAAAATATTTGACAGACCAATGCCTAACAGCTGAAGAGATCATTCTTTTGTAAATTCTCAGCAATTGCGAGTACCTGACATCAACATTTACAAATTTAGTAGAAAATGGAAAGATAGATGATCCCATCACCATGGAATACATGGATATCAATTGGTGCAGTATCACCATTACTTTTCACTAAAGATTATCAGAAACTACTCCTCCAATCTTCTGATTGTAATTGAAAGATCCAGGCATGATGAAGGAGAATGAAACTTCCGAGTCTTCGAATGAAGGTCGGGGGAATTCATTAAAGCCACCAAAGTTAGAGGTATCAAAGTTCAACGAAGATAAATAATTGATAGGATCATCAATATCACCTTTCACATCCATGATGTTTTGAACTCCATTCTCTCCAGAAGTATTTGGTGCAAAACTCAAGTTTACACCTTCTACCTTACTGCTGTTTTCTTGGCTTTCAAGATCAGGTGGCCCAGCCGAGGCTTTTGCGTCATCTGAGGGAATGGCTGGTGTATGACCTTGGAAAAGAGCAATGTGCCCAAAAAGCTTGTCTTTCCTTGAAAAAGTTGTGCCACATGAACAGAGCCATTTGTCCTTTCCACAGTGCTTTTCATGAGTTTTTAGATCAGCCATGACTGAAAACTTCTTTGTGTGGCACCTGCTGCAAATGTAACTCTTGTCACAGTGTGTTCTTTTGTAATGGTTTTTGACACATAAGATTGTCTTCAGAGGTTGAAACTTCCTGTGATCCTTGTTTCGCTTGCAGCCTGCATAGGGGCAGGAATACCTCTTTATAAGCTTTGGCTCAGGCCCAGATTCTTTGTTAGGTTTAGCAAGCGCTGCTGGGGTTTTGTATTCATCACCATGACCTCGCATGTGCATCCGAAGATTTGCATCTCGCTTGAACCCCTTCCCACAAATCGTACAGAAGTGTGTATGAGGTGCCATGATTTCTTCTTTTTCTAACTGTAATATCTCATAGGACCCAGGTAGAAGGTTCTCACCCTCCTCCATGTCTTCTTCATCTTTTGATTCATGCTCTTCCACATTGCAGATTTGCTCCATCCCACAACCCTTGGAAAGATCAATCTGAGTGGACTCATCAGACTTCTTATCTGCACTATTATTTTGTGGATGAGAACTAGTACTCGGACCACCAGATCCAGAAGGAATAGCATTCTCCCGAAGCTGGTCAACCTGTCCAACCAATAGACTCATATTTTTAAGGGTATACCTGACAGAAGGGAGAAGACTACCTGCAGTAGAAATCAACTGAACAATAATTGATGTAAGATCAGCCGTAATGAGCTGTCGTTCCTGAACAACAACTTCATCAGGTCGTACAAAAGATTGGCCTTTCTGGCTAACAATCAGGTGCACAAGATCCTGGAGCTGATGAATCTTTTCTTCTAGAAAAGACAAATTATTCAACATCACACTGGCGTCCCAATTGGGGAGTTTATCAGTCTGTGATGTGTCACTCATTTGACAATTTTCTTGAGCAGGGATCTTAATCTCATTGTTAGGGTCGCTGGGAAGGAAAGGTTGGGTTTGAGAGAGTTGGTTGAATTCTTTGAATGGAGCTTCAGTACTGAGGCCATAATCTGGAATAGAGGGAACATCCCATGGTTGATTGTGCTGCAAACTGAGATTGGTAAAAGAGGCAGTGTCTGATGACAGATTAACATGCAATCCATTCCCCAAAGAGTTTAATGAAGAGGACCTTGCCCAGGTGTTAGCACAAAGGTTCCCTTTTGGATCCATTTCTGTACCTCACGTATCAAGATCACTGCCAACCAAATGCACAATGTGAATTTGACAAACCATTAGACCATATACAATTAGATTAAACAACAAAAATTCAACTTTCAACTAGATACGAACGATAGAGGGCAAAAATTAGGAGGAATTTGAAGGAAAAAGCAGGGCTTGGGAGCAGAAAATAGAGACATAAAGTAGAAATAATCTGATCAGCAAAAATCAGCATATGATCATATACAAAATATACCATTCAACCAAGATCTCCATGTCATACAAATCAATCACTTTTGAGGAACTGAGGCCATAAGGACTAGTAAAAGTAGAGATTTCAATTTAATATATATCCACACCATGGTCTCAAGACCAAGCTATTCTTCACATCAGGGTATTGATCTGTTGGAGCATCCACATATTCATACAGATGTTTAAATGTTCAGACTATTCAAACAAGACAAAACACATCACCCTTCGCTCCTCGTTCTAGGCTAAGTTGCTCACATCCATTTCCTCTTTTCAAGATATCTAAAGCTCAAATCTAACACAGAAGCACTAATCATTTCAAGCTCATACTATTCCGACAAGCACCCCAAATTTGTGTATGTTCAAGTTGGCTGCAAATTAAAAACCAATTTAGGGGAGAAATCAAACATGAGAACAAGGGGGAGAAATCAAACCCTAGACTAGAATCAACCGATTGAAATCTAGAGAATTGATTGAAGAAAGAGGCGAAAAGACTAGCAGATTCAAAGCTGAATAGATGCACTAGGATTGATGCTTCATATCTTGTAGAAACACAATGGGAAGAAAAGAATGAGAAAGAAACGATAAGAAGTGGGAAGTAAATTCTTTATAGAACTCAGAAGCTCACCTCCTTGAACACAGCAGCACCACAGTTAGTCAACCACACAACCAGGAACGTCCATTTTTTGGGTCAATCAATCACAGCCGTTTCTAGGCAACGATAACGCAATGTACAAGTTCAAGGAAGAGGAAGACAAAATCTGATCGGATATGACATGGGTCCCGCCACAACTGGGATGGTTCCCTCTGCCTAGTGCCAACTCTCTCTAGGAAGAGGGGCCTCTTCCATTCTCTCGTTTTTCCTCCACTTTTCCTCTCTCAACAATTCATATTATTTTAAAATTATAAAATTAATAAATAATTGAAATGAAAAAAGTAAAAAAAAAAACAGAAATAAAAAAATGAAGAGACCTTCCACCCTTCTATATGTGTGTTAATGTGCGAGAAACTAAAAGAAAAAAGTGAAGGGAAAATTATTAAAAAAGTCTCATAAAAATTCCATTCACCTTAAATATACAAATTGTTGTCAAGTCTTAAATTATATGCAATTACAACTTGACAGCACAAAATGACAATTTGATATCAAACTAGTGTTTTGAAAATCAAACGGTTCAACTGTAACCCGTTGATCAAAACAGTCTGGTTCAATCAGTTGGACCAATCTAGCATTTAAATCGAGTTGACCTGATCGGTTTTGAGAGAATTGAATTTGTCTCGAAAACCTAAGTAGGTCAACCTAGTTTAAAGCCAAAAAAAATTTAAAAAAAAGACTAAGTTGCTCAAATTCGCGTTTTCTCTTTTCTAATCTCTAATTCTCTTATGTTTTCTCTTATCTCATCTTTGATTTCTCCTCCACAGCCCAGACTCAATTTCTGACATTTTCTCCAACCTTTGTCTCCATCTCTAGCAATCCAACCTTTGGTATTGAGATCGAAAGTTCACGAGTCATGACATGATAGCGTGCTTCCAGCTCTTACGTTTTGCTTTGAGATCGTGAGCTTATGCCGACATGCCTTTGCCTCCAGTTCTAGCAGTGCAGGCATCTAGCCTTTAGTGTTGAGATTCCAAACACCATTGACAAATTATGTTTTATTTATATATTTGTGTATATAAATGTTACTTTTATTTAATTTTTATATCACCAGTTCGATCGTCAGTCTAACTGGTCGAACCATGAAAATTGTGACTTGTTGCTCCTTTTGGTTTGACGTCCAGTTCGAGTTTTAAAACATTGTATCAAACTTATATCCAAGATGTCATTTTTCTTTACTAAGTTATAATACATGATTTGAGTTAGGAGTATTTTGTACATTTTATATGACTTCTTAATAATTAGAAGGGTAAAGGTGCAAATTTGATTATCAACTATTTTTTTAAGAGCACTGGTAGTTTATGCTATAAGGTAGTATAAAATAAATTATCAACTTTAAAAACAAAGCATCCAGCAACTTTTGTTATTTTTTATTTGACAAATGTTAACTTTTCATATGGGGCCTGTAAATTTTTGACTGAAAATGATATGTGGCATTTCACCTCAGCAAATAAAGATATAAATCTAGTCATGAACTATTTTTTGAGGGGCATTGGATATCATCTACTATCAGGTGATGCAAAAAAAAATTATGAACTATAAAAAAAAGGACCATCTAGTACCTTCCTATTAATTTTGACTAAATGCAGTTTATTTTCAAACTTATGAGACCCATAACATGTCAATCTTTTCAATTTTTTTGCCTTTGTTTTCACTCTCAACCCCAAAAAAATAGGCTCTAAGTGTTCTTATCTAAAGATATTTACAAAAATGATGCTAATGAAGTAAAAGAAGAAGAGGAAGAAGACAATATTTCATTTAAATCTCTGTGGCAATTTAAGTGTGAAGTAGTAGTTTGAATTATGATGCTACTATGTGTGGAAAAAGATTTAATCATTAATTATTTTTTAACTTGTAGTGGCATCACAAATTTAGCCACAAATTATTTTTATAAAAAAATAAAGCGATTGAATCAAGCTTCTCCCTTATGCAGTAGCATCACAATTTAAATTGCTACTTCACTTGACTTGTCACAAAGATTTAAACAAAACCTTATCCCTTTCCTCATCTTCTTCTATTTTATTGGCATCGTCCTTGCAAATGTCCTTAAATAAAAACTCTTTGAGCCTTTTCTTCTCAAACTGAGACTAAGAATGAAGGAAAGAAGTTTGAAGAGATTGATGAATTATGAGTTCTATAAATATGAAAATAAATGATATTTAATCAAAATTGATAGAAAGGTGCTGGATTGTTCTTTTTTTATAATTAATAATTTTCTTTGCACCATTCAATAGTAGATGCTACCTAGTGACTCTCAAAAAATAATTCATAGCTAGGTTTGCACCTTTATATACTGATGTAGAGTGTCATGTGTCATTTTCAATCAAAAATTTTTGAGCCCCATATGAAAAGTTAACATCTGTCAAATAAAAATTAATGAAAGTTGATAGATGCTTTGTTTTTGAAAGTTAAAAATTTATTTTGTATTATCTCATAATATAAGCTACCCTGTGCTTTGAAAAAAATAATTAATAGCCAAATTTATTCCTTGACCCTAATTAAAATCCTTCCAATGAATCTTGGATTAATTTTCCTAGAAGGAAAGCGAACAAAAATCTCAATGTAGTAACTAGGTGATAACATGTTAACAACATCATCAAATCAAATTTAAATTTAACCAACAAAATTTCAGGCCAAAATAATTAAATAAAAAAGCCAAAAGAAATTTTTTTTTTGAGAAAATTACTCCAAAGTCAGATTTTAAATACTCTAAAGTCTTATAAAATGGACAAATTATTTTCAAGTCACAAATTTTTTATTTTAAATTTATTTTATATTTAATTACTAAAAAACCATATTTCACCTTTTTGCTTTAAAAAAAGGAAACATGATAGAAAAATTTATTTAAATTATGTAAATAACATATTAATCTCACGAAATGGTATAATTTTCCTCGAGTCTCATGGAATTTTTTTTATCATTAGGGAATTAAAAAAGACCAAATTGGCCTCAAATAAAGCAAAAATTCTAAAGTTATGAATAACTATTGAATTGTTATAAATTTAAAAACAAAAGTTGTTAATACAGGAACAAAAGTTATGATGGAAAAGTTACAAATTTTCAACAATTGATGCATATTAGGACCTGCATATGCGGAGTTGCGAATGACTATTGAATTATTGTGAATTTAGAAACAAAATTTGTTAATATAGGAACAAAAGTTGTAAATAGAAAGTTGTGAATTTTCAACACCTGATGGATATCAAGACCTGCAGATGTGGAGTTGCAAATGATTGTTGAATTATTGCGAATTTAAAATAAAAGTTGTTAATATAAGAACAAAAGTTATGAATGAAAAGTTATGAATTTTCAATAGCTGATGCATATCAGAATCTGTAGATCAAGACTTGCAAATAACTATTAAATTGCTGCGAATTTAAAAATAAAAATTATTAATATATGAACAAAAATTGTGAATGAAAAGTTGTAAATTTTTTTAATATGAATACAGGAGAAAAGTATTGTTTTCTATAATTTTTCAATGACAGAAATATTTTTTGAGATTTTAAGAGAATTTTGCTATTTCATGATACCAATATATTATTTACATAATTTAAATAAATTTTTTTAATCATTTTTCCCATTAAACTATCTATCACCAGTCATCAGAACCCCGGTCAGCCACTGGCAATTGGGCTCTGACATAGGTAAAAAATACTGACACCACCAGATCATTGAAACTATTTAATAAATATATGCAAAATATTTTATATATAGTGAATTTATGGAGCAAAGGTTGCCGAAATAAAATATAATAATAGTTACTTACCATTTACAGTGGGTAACGTGTTAATGAAAAATATTTTCATTTAATGGTTACTATTATATAAAATACTTGTTATTCAAATTATTTATTAATAAAAATATATTTATTTAACAGTTTTGTATAAAGTACTTGTCATTTACATAATGTCACTTGTTAATAAAATTTAATAATCATGATTATATTTATTATTTACAGTAGGTCACCTTTTAATAAAAATATACTCAGGTAATCACTATCACTATTATATAAAATATTTGTTACTTAAGGCTAGGTACTTGTTACTAGAAAATATGATTATTTAGTGGAGAACCCTGTCACTCACGTTGGATTAATTATTTTATCGTAAGTTTATTCAGTATATATTTTTTAAGAAAAATTAATTAAATATCACTTTTGCCCATGGTTCAATATATAAAAAAAAAAAAGGAGTTGTCCAAAGAAAAGAAAAAATAGAGAGAAAATTATAGCTATAAGTTTTTAAATTAAAGTACAAAAAACCAACCAAAATCAACCAACCAAAATCAACCAACACGAATGCACAACTCATTCACCGGTGGGATGGTTGAAACTTCCGTCTTCTTTCGATGATTACGAGAAAAACCCAAGCAAGTGTATTCCCCAAAGCTTAAAAACTCTCTCTTGTTCAGTCACACCCTCTTCCTTCCTCTTCTTTAATCTTCCATTCTCTCGTTTCCTATCCACATCTCGCTTCTTCTCCTTCTCAATCCATTCCTACATTGTTCAATGGTTCACCTTCTCAATACTTCCTTTCTTCCTTCTTCCTCCGCTCTTCAACGGAAGCCCATTTTGCCGCCGTCATTCCGTGCTGCTTCCGCCAATCGGAGTAGAACCCAGATTCAGGCCAAGATCCGGGAGATATTCATGCCAGCTTTGAGCTCCACGATGACCGAAGGCAAGATCGTTTCCTGGGTTAAGTCCGAAGGCGATAAGCTCTCCAAAGGCGAGAGTGTCGTGGTGGTCGAGTCTGATAAGGCCGACATGGACGTGGAGACCTTCTACGATGGGTTTTTGGCGGCAATCATGGTTGAGGAAGGTGGGGTTGCAGCTGTTGGGTCTCCTATTGCGCTATTGGCGGAGACGGAAGATGAAATTGAAAAAGCTAAGTCCAAAGCTGGTGCTTCAGCTTCTTCTTCGTCTTCTTCTCCTCCTGCCGCTGAACTAACTTCGTCTTCTCTGGAGCCTCAATCGGGGAAAGTTCCTGATAATGTGGCACCGATTCCGGAGCTTGGGGGCGTGGTTGTGGCGTCGACCCATCCGGCTTCGGAGGGAGGGAAGAGGATCGTGGCGTCTCCTTATGCTAAGAAGCTAGCGAAGGAGTTGAAACTGGATTTGGGGAGAATAGTGGGCTCTGGGCCATTGGGAAGGATTGTGGCCAAGGATGTTGAAGCCGCTGCTGCAGCAGCCGCCACAGCCGCTTCTTCTGCTGCCACCGTTGGCTCCCCAACAAATGCCGAAGCTGCCAGGGGAAAGAGTGCGGCAATTGAGTTGGGTTCAGTTGTGCCTTTTACAATAATGCAGAGTGCTGTGAGTAGAAACATGGTTGAGAGCCTGGCGGTGCCGACTTTCAGAGTTGGCTATACCATCACCACAGATGCACTTGATGCTTTGTCCAAGAAGGTAAGATTGTATATAAAAGTAGATAAATATGTTTTACATCATTTTTGCATCAGTCAACTATATTGATCAAATAATGATGATCAGTTTTAAGTTTGTTCTGCAATGTTGCAATTGATGGTTGATTGTCTATTTGTCCCCCGTTCCCCCCCCCCTCCAAATTTTGATATTGGTTGGAATTTTTTGCATAGTTTCCATCTGTTATCTGATTCTGTATTTTGTGAAAGCATTGGTGCTCTCAGCTATGGGGAGGAGAAAAGCGGAAGTTAAATGCTTTGTACTTAATTTTAAATTTCAATGAAAATGTGTATATTATCTCCTTGATTTTATAAACGAAATCTTGATTTGCAAGAAATGTTTATAAAAGATGATGAACGAATATAAATTGTTCTGTTACCTGTGCACTATTAGCTTGTAAATGTGCTCTTTGCCATCTGTTTGTGGAGGTTGCATTGTGATTTGATGAGATTTTGACTATTAAACTTAAGGGCTAATATTATCTATTTTTATTTTCTTAAATTATTAATTATCATTGTTCAAGATGCTGTACGAACATCATATGGGCTCTCCGAAAATGTTAATGACCTCTGTTTTCAATAGTTAATACCATAAGATTGGATGTCAATAATGTTCATGTTGCATCATGCTCTTATTGCAGGAACATACTTTCTCTCCATTACTGAACGCGTTGATAGCAGAAACTATTTTGAATGATTTCTTAATATGAGATTCTAGGGATAGTAAACACCCCCCCCGGGGGGGGGTTGTTTTGGATGAATGGGTGATTTAATCATTGGACCAGCCAGAAACAAGAAATCAGATATTCATTCAACTCAGGAGAAAAATAATTATTAGCAGATTTTTTTTTTATTCGAAGCAATCCAATGAACTAAATACAATGAAAATTACAAGACATGCATGCTTTTATGTTCTAACACGGTAGCATACCCTCTATTATAGCTGGATATCTTAAGTTTTTCAAATTATTTTGTGACCATTCTGGACTTCGCTTTTCCTGAAGTGATTTACTGAATTGTGTTCAATTTAATCCCACGTATGTTAGATCAAGTCAAAGGGAGTTACCATGACAGCATTGCTTGCCAAGGCTACTGCACTTGCTCTGGTTAAACACCCTGTCATAAACTCCAGCTGTAGAGATGGTAAAAGCTTTTCATATAATAGTAGCATCAATATTGCTGTTGCTGTGGCTACAGACGGTGGACTAATTACACCAGTTCTTCAGGATGCGGATAAGGTTATTGCTGCTCTATTTTAGGCTGTTTGGATATTTGTTACTTCAATTCTAAGATGGCACCTAACATTAAAGAGGTATTTTTTCCTGTACATTTTAGGTTGACATCTATTCATTGTCAAGAAAGTGGAAGGAATTGGTTGACAAGGCACGGGCCAAGCAGCTGCAACCTCATGAGTATAACACAGGTACCAAAGTTAATTGTAAATGTTTAAGTAGGGGGTCTATTCACCTCCATTTTTTCATCAAATGCGAGTAGTTGAGTTCTGAATCTATTGGAGTACGGGACACAAATTTGTTTGCTCTGGGACCTTTTTGTTCTTTAATTGGACATTTAGTTCTATATTAACGTGAGACCTTCATAAGTTCTGCTAGTCTTCACAAGTTTCTTATTATTTCTTCTAGTCCAGAGTTAGGCACTCATAATTGCATTTGTTGCTCCTTTTGCTGCTATAATTGATAGATATATTTTGTAAATGGTATGACTTTTCTATTGTATATTTTAAGTCACTTTCTTTTTTATTTGAAATGTGAACTTACTGATAATAAAATTGTACCTGACATATTAACTTGTATGGTTTCTATATAGTTGCTTACCTTCGCTGCTTGTTCTTGCTCCTCTAGGTACTTTCACTCTTTCCAACCTTGGAATGTTTGGTGTGGATCGCTTTGATGCTATTCTGCCTCCTGGAACTGTGAGTACTTTTACTTTGGGTCAAACTAATTTTTCCTACCAGGTTTTTTGCAATAGTTTGAGAATTTAGACTCTGATTCACATGAATCTGTAGGGAGCAATTATGGCCGTTGGAGCATCAGAGCCAACTGTTGTGGCTACCAAGGATGGTCGCATCGGCCGGAAGAGTCAAATGCAGGTACATTCCCGTACATTTCAACCCCCCCCCCCAAAAAAAAGGGCACAAATATTCGAGTCCAAACCTCACTTATTCTTGAATTATGCAGGTCAATGTTACAGCTGATCATCGGGTTATCTATGGGGCTGATCTTGCTGCTTTCTTGCAAACCTTGTCAAAGATTATTGAGGATCCTAAAGATCTTACATTCTAGTCGTACTTTCCTCCACTCAAATGATGCATTTCTCTGGTAACAAAGTGAAGAATGAAATGTTTATTCGTAGCTTTAGGTCTTTCGCCCTCAGGTCCTAGGTTCTCTGATCATGCAGAAACACAGGAGTCCAGACACTATACACCCATTTTTACAAAGAACAAGAGCAGAGTGATGAATATTGAAGTTGAATTCGAGTTTCTTAGATGAGATTTTCAGTAACAAAAAGTTGCTTTTTTTTTTGGCGAGAACAGGAAGTTGCTTTTGTTACGTATTGATTGCCTGCCCATTGTTTTCTAGTCATGTCCAATTTTTGTCTAGACATGAAAGTTGGCTTGGAATTATGTCTGGAAAGGGGGAAAACAATTATTGTATTTTTATTATGTTATGGCTTACTAATAAGCAAATGAATGCAGTCTGATTACGGCAACATTTGACTTCAGTGCGGATGGATGATGATAAATATTTTTTTTTTAATTCAACAATATGAATGAATTTAGTTGAAGTTAAAAGGTTCTATTTTTTCTTTCTTTAGTCTTTGAGATCATGACTCATGACATGAGTACTCTTTCTCAGATAGTTTTATATCCTTTATTTTACAAAGAAGGTCATAGGATGCACTAGGAGGTAAGAATGAGAAAGTACGATGACATACAATTCATTTAACTGATTTCATTTAATGAGATAAGATTTTTTTTTTTTGGGTATTTTAACAAGAACTTTGTAAACTTCTAATTTCAAAAGATTTAGATCTTAATAACAAAAGAGAAAGGAAAAATGACAGTAAATTTATTTAAATTAGGTAAATGATGGATTGATCCCACAAAATGGTATAATTCTTCTGGAGTTTCTTGGGTTTCTTTTGTCATTAGGGAATTATTGGACATGATTAAATTGCCCTCAAAACAAACAAAAATTCCAAGCTTCACTAAAGTTGTAGATCATGTAACTGGCAAGAAAACTTTAGAGTTGTATATGTCACTTTTTAAAGTTTTCTTGTAATTTAAATTAATAAAAGTTGTTATTTGTTAGATTAGAATGATATTTCATTTTTTGTTGATTTAGTCAATTTACAGGGGTATTGATAAATTACAATTCCTTGTTAATAGCTATGAATTTAAGGACAAAACTTGTAAATATAAGAATGAAAATTGTAAATGGAAAGTTGTGAATTTTCAACTCTGATGCATGTTTGGAATTGCACACTAGGACTTGCGAATGGCTAATACATTGTTGCGAATTTAGAAAAAAGTTGTTAATACAAGAACAAAAGTTGTGAATGAAAAGTTGTGAATTTTCAACTCATGCATGTCTGGACTCACACACTAGGATTTGCGAATGGCTAATATATTGTTGTAAATTTAGGGGCAAAAGTTGTTAACTAAGAACTAAAGTTGTGAATGAAGACTTGCGAATTTTCAACCTTGATGCATGTCTGGACTTGCACAGCAGGACTTGCAAATGGCTAATACATTGTTATGAATTTAAGGACTAAAGTTGTTAACCTATGAACCAAAGTTGTGAACGGATACTTGTTGGTTTTGTACTACTAAACTTTCCTTGCTGAATTTTTTTTCTTTAATTTTTTTATTATTTTACACTTTATTCATCTTCATTCTTCTATTATTTTATTGAATTAAATTGTGCTTGCTGAAAATTTTTGTTTCTATTCACGTGCACACCAAGACTTCGTTTTTTAATACTTATTTTTAGTCTAGTAAAAGACTTATTTTAAATAACTTCACTTTCTTTTTCTTTTTTTAAGGTTTAGCTTTTGCTATACACACATGCAACATAAAGATTTTTAATCAAGTTTAAAATCATTGGTTTTCATCTTTCATATATTAACTTTTAATCTCTCTCTTGCTCTCTCATATACTCAAAGATATATAAATTTAGGAACACATTAATTTTTTAAAAATTCACAATCCAAATTCTAGAATTGATAAAAGGGAAATTATAGAACTACAAGAACATAGAAATAAGGGGACAAAATGGAAAACAATCATAGAATTGTAGAAAGGAGGAGAAGGAAATCCACGCTCACAATGAAAATGGCCATATAGAAAGAAAAAGCGCTAGAGAAAGTGTTCACAACAGTTCATTCTTTGTTGCTTGAACCCAAGCACTATTTGATATTTTACATTTACTATGAAATATTCAGTCGATAAATGGAACTTCATTCCTTAAACAAAGAAGTCATTACATATATTAAGAAATATTCAAATAGCGATTACATTGACAAATGTTGAAATAGTCATTACATTGAACAACCCCTTTATATATTAAAGTGGCTATCCCCTTCTCTTTCCTGTCTTTTCTTAAGTAATTTCAAGGCTACCTTCATTTTTTTATTTTTGGATGGTTAATTAGCCACCACAATAGCTCAGCCCTAAAGTTAGTAACTTCTTCCTGCACCAAAGAAAGAATAACACATAAATAGAAAGAATAACATCAGACAAAGAATAACACACAAGTATAAAGAATAACATCAAAGAAAATGCAAATGTACATCAGTGAAGTCTTGCGACACTGCGAGATCTCATATCTTCAACCAAATCATGACAAGAACAGCACAATCCTTCTTGCAAATATGTAGCACACAAACAATAATCACAATTGGTCAAAGGAAACAAAGGCATTACATAAACAAGATAAGCTATAACAATAGGTAGAGAACACACAGATTATTTTGTTAGGGTATCGAAGGCTAAATAACATCAGCTATTGATTTCTTTTCGATCAAATTTGGGTTCACCAACTCAATGATGTCAAAGAACCTATTTCGTTGCAAAGGAAACAAATTCATACTATCAAAACAACATGCACGTAAGGCACACCATTAAAGTTGACTAATAGACCATACACAAAATTAAATTCATAACTTTTGTTCCTATATTCACAAGTTTTATCCCTAAATTTACAACAATTTATTAGCCATTTGTAAGTCTTAGTTTGCAAGTCCAGACATGCATCAAAGTTGGAAATTCGCAAGTTTCCATTGATAACTTTGGTTCCTATATTCACAAATTTTGTCCTTAAATTCATAATTATGCAATAAGGAATTGTAATCTATCAATATCCTTGTAAATTGACTAAATCAGCAAAAAATAAAATACCACTCTAATCCAAAAAATAACCACTTTTATTATTTTAAATGACAAAAAAATCTTAAAAAGTGACATATACAATTCTAAGGTTTTCTTGTCAGTTACATGATTTACAACTTGCATCATTTTCACCCTCACACTTCTCCCATCATATTATATTTTGCCTGTAATATTTTTTACAAAATGTCCCTCTATGTGAAAATAACAAAATCGTTCCTTTCCAAAACTAAAAGTAGAAGAAGCCATTTCTCATGCCAATATGAAATAATGAAATAGTCATTCATCGATATGTCTATTTTTTAAATATCATGATCACATATCTGTTATGTTTTATCCAACAATAACTATTTTTTTTATATTCACAACTTTTGATTTATATATTTACAACACAATTGAAAATGATGTATCATTTATCATTTATCTATGTAGAGTAAGCATCAGTACCCACATTTTTTACCTTTAAGCATGAACAGAAAATAAAGGCCTCAATCATTTATGTACAATAACTCACATCAACTTCAACTATTACATATGGGAGGAGAAAATTTCAAGGAGGAGAGAAAATTTACCCACATATAGTGGAGGCAAAAGAGGAAGAATGGTTGCTTATATATACCCACGTACAGTAGCTCAATAAAACAAACAACCCACGTACAGAAATTGAAAAAAAGGATCATGACAACGGGAAGAAGAAGGAGAAGGAGAAGGAAAAGGAAAAGGAAATGGAGAAGAAGAGGGGACGGATCAAAAGAATACCACGAAGGAGAGAAGAAGACGAGGACATGAACAAGATGAAGCAAAGCCTATAACGCACGTGAATTTTTCTTCAGTGAGGTTTTGGATTTTTATTTGCTTTGAGAGTAATTTAGTCATTTCTTTTAATTTCCTAGTGACAAAAAAATCCCAAAGGACTCAGGAAAATTATATCATTTCATGAGATCAATCTATTATTTATCTAATTTAAATAGATTTTACTATCATTTTTCTAAAAAAAATGTGAGCTTTGTTTTTTATGATGAGAAATTAAAACTTTACTTTCATCAATTTTGTGATTTCTCCCAAAAAAACAATCTTATGAGTTATTTTTTATTTAGTCTTGATAATACAATAATAACAAGGTCGGTTATATAAATTGTACAACACCATTATCTTTTATTGTTTAAACTTAAAAAAGTCAAATTTAAATTAAAATTAATCACAAGCGCTAGAGTCTAGACAACAAATAGTTTCCCAAAAAAGAAAAAATCTTATTGAAGCATCTAAGATTAATTATAAACGAGAAAGGACTAACAAGCAAGAGAAAGACAATAACGGAACCTTAAATCTTAAAAGTATAAATTCAAAACAACAAATAAAGCAATTCAATCAAAAGATAAAGCAATTCAATCAAAAGCACGGGCAAACGAAGACGTCGAAGCAATACCGAAGAAACGACCTTTATCCATTATTTATATAAGGAGTTGTACCATAAGCATTTTGATTTGCTTTACAGTTTACACAGCCGCAAGCCTGCTACACTTTGCATTGTACAAGCACCTAACGAGTAATTAAGAATTATCAAGTATTCTACTCTGTCTGTTGTAGATTAAATCCAACCCTTACTTGAGTACTCCGTATAATCTTTGTCCTTATCTCTGCAGAGTTTCTTTAGGAGCGCAGAAGATCCAACTAGAAGGAAGGATACAAACTTATCGTGCATTCAGGAGCATTCGGAGCACACTCTTCATCTTTGGTCTTGCTTCAGGGGATGAACTGACACAAGCAAGAGCTATCTGAAGGATTGCAAGCATCTGGTTTTTGACAGCCTGAGATGTTCTACTGACATTAAAATCCAGAATGTGATCTTGCTTCGTTGAGTTGCGCGTTACCCACTTCACCAATTCAGTTCCATCAGTCACTGCTGGCTTTCCTGTTAACAATTCCAGCAGGATTACCCCAAAGCTGTACACATTCCCAGCCATCGTCACTCTCATTGTGTATGCATACTCTGCCAATCAATCACCAAGCAAAAATACTTTTAGGACTTAGAAAGGTAAAGAAGCTTAATCACTCATTAAATTAAAAACCAAAAATATGGGAATATATGGGAGAAATTGTAATTTCCAGTAGGGGTGTTCACAGGACGGGACTGAGACACCTTTGTCTCGTATCCCTTCTCGAAGAAAGAAAGGGACTGAATTTTTGTCTCGTGTCCCGTTCCGTCCTGAAAGTCGTCCTATCCTGTTAAGAATTGGGATGAGATCGGAACGTCCTACTGTCGCAATAAATCGAATAATGTGGAAGAAAGGCATGGATAATAACATTCATTAATTTTTTTTTAAAAAAATAATTTATAAAGTTCAAAGCCAAAACAATACGGATTACATAAATTACAAAAATTTAAAGTCAATTATTAAATTACATCAATCACAACTACAATTGTATAACATATTATAATAGTAATTACAATTGATCTCTAAACTATAAGAGCAATAAAAATAGATCAGCAAGGCACAACATCAAGTCATTATTCTTCTTTAGTTAAAACATGCTAAACTAGTTACTTTTTCAAAAATAAAGCAAGAAATATGATATAAACAAGTTATTAAATAGAGAGATATATGAATAAATTGTATTAATATAATCAATATATTATAAAGAAAGATATTACCCTGTACTATTTACTCCGTGCCATTAAAATTATCAATATAAAAAGCTTTCAGTTTTAAATAAGAATTGCATGTATTGAAATTAAAATTAACATAATTAATAAAAGTATAAATTATATTATAATTAATATATTTAATGTATCTTTTTAAAATAAAAATAATATATATATAATATTCAGGATGGGATATGATGTCCCAAAGGCAATCCTGTGTCCCGTCCTATCCCGAACCCTTTTCTTGTCCCGTCCCAATTGTTTTCGAGTTGGGACAAAACCCGTCTCGATATGATTGGGACGAAATTGGGTCAATCGGAACGGATATAAGTTAAACACCCCTAATTTCCACACACTAATGTGTTATGGAAAAATATTTTAATACTCAAGATCACAAGAATATCCTGCACATAGTAGGTTCACCTAACTTTAGTCAGTTGTGTTATTGAGAATTAGTGATAATTTTGTTAAAAAAATTATAAAATGCTATGAACATAGAAGTCCTAGTTTAAATTAGTCAAACCACATTATGCCATGTCAATTTAAAATATGAATTGAGGACAGACTAACTGAAGTGCGAGGTGAAAGAGTTTCTGACCAGGAGGAATATAGCCAACAGAACCAGCAACTGCGGAAAAACTTCCTGTGCTTTTTGAAGGATCAATCACCTTGTAGAGTTCAATATCTCCAACCAGAGGCTCCTTGAGAGACTTCAGCATTATACTTTTACTTGATAGGTCAAGGAGAAGAATTGGACCTGAGGCGAATCCATGCAGAAAAGAGAGACCTTGAGCCGCCCCAACAGCTATACTATATCTGCTAGCCCAATCTAAAGAGTTTTCCAAGCTTCCGTGAAGAGCATCATAAAGGGAGCCACTTGAGATAAATTCATACAGTATATAAGCACTGTCAGTGGATAGAACATAAGCCAAAGGAGTCATGACATTTGAATTGTTCAATTTCGCCAAGACCTCTAGCTCTTTACCAAATTTATCTTGACTGCCCAGTGGGAATAGCTTCTCACTCCAGTTAAGCTTCTTGACAAAGTAGATTGATCCAGATGGCATAATAGTCTTATAATAAGTTGAAAACCTAGTTTTCAGGGTAATGTTTGATGTTTCAGCAACATCTTTCATGGCCTTAGAGAAATCAATGTTGGATCTGTGAATTCCATTTGGAGTTAATAAGTGACCTTGGATGACCAGAGGGGGTTGAGGGTGGTCATCATGTGGTTGTAAGTGTTCGTCATTTACCCTGTATAAACGTCGTGAGATTAATACAGCCAGCACAGTTACCAGGCCAACAAGAAAAACTGCAGCTGCAATTGCAACAAGAACTGCCGTGACAACAGGATTTCCCTTAGGAGATATTGGGGAAGTGTTAGAAGACGCAGTTTTGTTTTCGAGAGCTTTATTTCCACCTGAATCGACTTTAACATGAGAATTGAAGTCGGGAATGACTCCGGACAACTCATTATTAGAAAGTTCCAACTGTGTCAAAGCCGGCATCTTGGTGAGAAAATCAGGAATTTCACCAGAAAATTTGTTATTCGAGAGATCCATGATTTCCAGGTTATTCAAGCCAGCAAGAGTGCTGGGAATAGGCCCTGTAAAGAGATTGCTGCTGAGATTCAACGCAATCTGAAGATTCCATGGCATTTTTGGAATTAAACCACTTAGCTGGTTTTCTCCAAGTTGAAGTTCCATAAGAGACGCCATGCTGCTTATAGATGTGGGAATAGAACCACTGAGATTGTTTCGCTGTAAGTAAATCTTACTAAGCTTTACCAAATTGAACATTGCTGGTGGAATGGTTCCGTTCAGAGAATTGTGGCTCAAATTCAGAGTTGACAACTTCTGTAGCTGAGACAGTTGAGTTGGTATTGGTCCAGAAAGCTCATTCCCTTGAAGCTGCAAGACTTGAAGATTGCGGAGCTTTCCAAGCTCTGCAGGCAATCTCCCAGACAGTTGATTCTGAGCCAAGTTCAACAAGGCCAGATTCTGGCAAGAACCCACCTCGCCGGGTATTGGGCCTGTCAATTTATTGGCCTCCAGTTCGATATACGTCAAACTCTGGACTGTCGAAAATGCTTTTGAAGGTATCGTCCCATTCAGGGAATTACCCCCTAATCTCAACCTGATAATGCTAGAAGATATGACTGCAGGTAAAGGCCCGGATAACGAATTACTGGACAAATCCACATGCTGCAAATTGGATTGTGAAAAAAGGTCTGCTGGAATAGGCCCGGACAACTTGTTATAACTGAGATCCAAGTTACTAAGAAATCTCGTAATTCCGCGGGGAACAGAACCATCGAAGTGGTTTTCATTGGCTGCAAAACGGCGGAGGGTTTGGATGTTCGAGAGTGCACTTGGGACTGTCCCTCCAAGGTTATTAGAGGATAGAATTAAAACTTGCAATCTGGATAGATCTCCGATGCTGCTAGGAATAGAACCTGTAAGCTCATTTCGTCCAAGGTCAAGCAAAGTCAAATTTGTGTAACTCAGGATTTCAGCAGGGATTGTACCTTCAAAGTGATTAAGGCTCAGCACAAGCTGCTCCAAAGCCCCGGAATTTCCCAGTTTGGTAGGGAGGGACCCATTGAAAGAATTGAAACTAAGATTTAAGCTCTTGAGGTTCCCTAACCCGGCTAACTGTGATTCAATTTTCCCTGAAAAAGTATTGAAAGATATATCCAGGGACTCTAAGGCATCAAATCCATGAAAAGTAGGCAAAGGACCGAATATTTTGTTGTAACTAAAATTGAGAAACTTTAACCCCTGAACCTTCCCACAGTCAGAGATGAAATCGTCTGGAATTGAGCTGAAGACATTAACAGAAAGATCAAGATGCTGCAAACTTTCGATCTGGCAAAGACGAGTCACAAATTCGGAAGAAGAGATGGAATTCCCAGATAGCGAAAGTTTGATTACAGAGGAGTTGGTGGGGTCGCAAGCGACGCCCTTCCACTGACATGGATTCGGGTGCACCTTAATATTCCATGAATCAGTCAAGCCAGTTTGATGAAGTAGTAGGGAGAGCGCGGTCATGGTACTGGTTTGGTTCCGGGATAGCAGACACAGCGCCATTGGACAGAACCAGAAGCACAGAGAAACGTAGAGGACAGACGAATCGTACCCATACCTGCCCATTTTGGAGCTGTCTGCTGGCGAGATGATCCTTCACCTCTGCAATCTCATCGAAGCCTTTGGCTTTTGGGGTTGCGGGCAACAAGTATCGGAATCTGGGTTCAGAGGGAATGGAACAAATAACAGTAATAGAGAAACAGATACGGCGGAGATTTAGGGGTCTGAGGATTGAATTTTGGTGCAAAATGAGGAGCAAGAAAGAGAGGGGAGTGTTGGGTTAAGGTGGTTTGGCCTGCCACTGCACGGGCAGAGACTTGGAAGAAGACTCAGACGTTGACGAAAAAAGGACAGGGGGGTTAGGATTTTGCTTTACTAGCCCGGCTTTGCTTGATTCCATTTGGATGGGGACTTTGACTGAGAACACTGATAAGAAGAGTTGAACTGAACAGCAAAGTAACGGCGAGGAGGAATGGATGAGGAAGGCGGAACTGGGACCCCTATGGGAGAGAGTAAAGAGATTGACTCAAAATGAAACTTGAAAGGTGGGAAGTGGATTGTTCAAAGTTGAAACGCGTAGGAGGAAACGACTGGGAAAGCGAGACTTTTGAGGCTTTTGCAGGGCGTGTTCCTCACTCCCTCTGCTCCAAACGGTCGTATTGGTGCAACTAATGGCCTTCCATTTTCCTGGCAACGCCCTTGGTGGAATCTTGCTCCTAATGCGCGTCACAATTGGGGTACATCATTTTCCCACTTCAACTTAATTTTACCAAGATAATGGGCAGAATTCAGTGATACTCAAATGACAAGTAAATAAATGTATGAAATTTATAGTGATAATTAATTAAACATTTTAGGGAAATTGAATTGTGTGATTTTCTACCAATTTTCCGTTACATATCAAATGTTATTCTCTTCACATGAATAACTTTTTATTATCGGTTGAATGCGTTTTAATATTACGAAAACAAAAATGAAAAGAAAATACTTTTAAAATACGCAAATAATTAGGCAAAATGTTATAATTTTTTTAAATTTCTGTGAACCTTTCTAACATTAATAGTTTTTGATGCAATGACTACAATACCTTCAATTTAAATTAAAATAGTAATTTTAATCATTTTGTTTCTTTATTTTATAAATTTTATTCATCACTTATTTATATATTTTTGTTTCTTTCTTTTCCTTTTTTTTTTTGGCGGTCAATGTTTCTTGGTATCCCTTCTGGTCCACGGCGCTGGTGGCAAATCAGAGAAAAATGCATAGAATGAGACGACTTCCTTTGCCCCCAAAAAGAAAAAAAAAAAAAAAACAGAGTCGACTTTGAAGGCTTCACTTCCATTCCACATTTTCTTAAGAAAAATAAAAAAAGGGGGATAATTGCAAAGTGGCTATGATAATAAGCATTTGATGGAAGAGAACAAGAATTATTGGAGGCAAAACATTCACAGTTCATTTTTAACTTAGCATGCTTATTGGTTCATACCTTTTATTGTTATCAACAAAACCTCCGTAGAAAACAAACAACATACCCTACTGCTCTTTCCGGTTCAGCACAACCCATCAGCATGTTTTCGTTCGGCTGAATATTTACAGTTCCTCTTCTTCTAGTTGTGAAAATAAAAATAATATCTCCATTTTAGCATAATATGCCGGTTGCTTATTTATCGTGATATCATCGTTTATATAAGACATGCTGATATTAAAAAAAAGAAAATGTGAGAATCAACACTTCCATTATAAACGTCATGAATCATGATATAATAAGTGAGAATAAGGGAGACCGTCACTGTTTAATATAAAATGAAAATATTATTTATTCTATCTTTATTTTTCCTCATTCAACTACTTGGTCAGTTAAGGGGATCTGAGTTCGAATACGGCGCGAGCATCGTTGGAGATATGAAGGAAGTGTGAAGTGTTGGAAGATGCAGTTTTGTTTATGAGTTCCTTATTTCCTCCCTAGTCAACTTCAACATAACAATTGAAGTTCATTCGTAGAAAGTTCCACTTCCACCTGTTCAAAGCCGGCATTTTCGTTGAAAAACATCGGAAATTTCAGTTTTTTATTTTTTGTTTTGTTATTAACATGCACCCTTTTATTAAAAATAATCGTATTTGAGGTGCCTGTTATACCCTAAGGTCCTGTTTAGTTATTAAAAGAAAATGAAATAGAATAAATTAAAAAAATTAAAATTAAAATAAATTGAATTACCCTTCCACGTTATGATAAGTATAATGCTATAAATGTGAGAATCATCACACCTTTTAAAAATTTAATGAATCATGATTTACAATCTCATAAATTAATTATCTTTTTTTTTTTATAAATGTGGTCCAACCATCTCTTTTAATTATTATTATTTTTTAATCTATTCCATTCCAATGCTTTATAATAACCCATCAAGACTTAAATGTGGAAAAAGTTCAAGATTTCCAAGTTATTCAACCTCGAAAGAGCTGGGAGCAGGGCCCCTAAGGAGATTGGCAGTAACTAAGATTCGACCCAATTATTGGGCCTTTATTAACATATCATATCATCCCCCTTTATTTCCTGCCACCATCTCAACCGATTCTCGGATGCAATTGTCCAGAGTGATAATGTTCTTAGTTAAACCTATTTTGGACCACAGCCCAAATGGAAAACCTGTTTCACTAAATTGTTTCAAATTTTAAAATATTATGGAATAATTATTGATTGAATTTTTTTACTTGCAGTTGATCTAGATTATAGTGTCCTTTCTCTGTTTAATTTTTTTCCAATCTTAAATACTTAAGAATAATTTTAAAATATTTTTATATAAATACCACTATTTTACTGAAGACTTTTTTAACTGTAATTTATTAAGTCCGGAAAATTTTCACTTAAGGTCATGCATGCAAACAAGATGCTCCTATTTGGAGCTGGAACAACTACATTTTGGTTGATCATGAGTAAAGTATGATGGAGTTGTCCGATCAATACAAGCATGTGATTTACATAGTTTTATTTTTGACAACAAATTGCTATTCTTTACTCCAATAATTTATAAAGATAATTATGATTTAAGAATTTTTAGAAACTAAATGATTCAATATTTTACGCGGGTTACGTATGAGGAAGGACAAATTAGGGGATGTGGAGCCAGAGGAGTTTAAATGTGAAAAGATGAATGAATGAATGAATTGTGTTGAAAGTTGAATGGCGCAAATGTCACTTTCATTTGTCGTGACAACTAATTACCATTTAAATGACTTCCTCTTTTTTATTCGGCCATTATTAATTATTAATATCATAAATTGGCAACCCTTGGCTTCCCTCAAAGGTATTCCCTAATGCCTACGTTTAATTTCCATTACTTAACCAAGACAGGCAATCTATATACTATTTTTTCTTAATTTTCAAGAAACAGTATATGCTTCTCTAGTTTTATTTATAGAGTACAGAAAAAATTTTTTAATCCTATTTATAAGGTATTTGTTAATTTTCAATACTCTTCTTTATATTTTTGCTTTTATTAAATATTTTAAATAAAAATATCAATAATGATATTTAAGAATATTTATTAAGAGTAAATGTAAAAATTTGTTAAGTTTTAAAATAAGAATAATGAGATTTAAGTTTTCTTTAATTTTAATAAAATATATTAAAAGTAATTTATAAATAACATTAGAGAAAATATTTTTCTGTGCATACTTTGTTAATAATAATTACAATTTCAAGTTGCTGTGCATGATTCATTACATTACCTTTGGCGTGTGTCTCACATGAATGGACCTTGTGCTTAATCCGTGAACCAACAAACGAGAAACTTTAGTGCATCTTATGTCAATGTTTCAATTTATTTACTAAATATGGGTAAAGGTGTAAGATTGATTTTTTAAAATAATTTATCATGAATATTGTGGTTAACCATCATTTTTCATGCCTAAAAGAAAATTGATATTTTAATTTTCTTTGTTGCCTGTGCTCCTTCTTGTCCTTTTGATAAATCACATCCTAAAACGTTTTCTCAATATTTTATATAAGTCATTTTTTTTTTAGTATTTGTAATCTTTTATGTATGATTTTAAAACTACCTTCCAACAAAATTCTAAAAAAAGATGCAATTTTTAATTCTAAAAAAATGAAGGAACAAGATTAAAATTGATTTTTTAAAGATAATTTTATAAATACTCTTAATCAACGTACTTTGATTTTGGTGAATTAATTAGAAGTAACTTATAAAATAAATATGAGATAGGATTATTGAACTAAAGGAGTGAAATAAAAAAGTATAAAACATACTCCCTCCATCTCAAATTATAAGATATTTTTAGAGAAGATTTAGCATTTCAAAAATAAGACATTTTGATAAAAGTAAGGTTTCATTAATGATATTTTTTTAATATTATCCTTTTCATATATCCTCTCTCCTTAATTTTTTTTATTAATAAAATATTAAATGAATGATATTTTTAAAAATTTATATTTTTATTTTAAAAAAATAAGATTATAAAATATATTTAATTAACTTTATTAATGTATAAAAGTTTATTTAAAAAACATTTTATAATTTAAAATGAAAGGAGTATTTTTTAAATAAAATCAATTAACTAAATGATTGATATTATATTAACTACCTATAAATCTTTTTCCGTCCTGAACAAATTCTGGCAGAAAGAGAAAGACACGTGGAAAAAAGGCGACGAAGAAGCTTTCCACAGCACGATGCACGTCCCTTTCTCTCTCTATTTCTTTCCCTCACAAGATCTTTGATCAAATTTTGGAGACTAATTAATACAAAGTTTCAAGAAAGTTATCGTTTTTTTTTTTTTAAATATAGTTCATAGTTTTCAGTAAGTTTGGTAATTCAGGTAAAAAAAAAAAAAGAAAGTGAATTTGGCAATAAGGTTTTTGAAACTCAATAGGAGATTTTTGTAATCTGAGAGAGATTATGGTAATTTTTAAAATTCCGTCAGGTTTATGTCATCATAAAGAGTGTGGCTGAGGAATATAAACCAAAATTTGTGATTCCTATTGAACAAGAAAGCTTAAACTTTTCTGCAGCAGTCGAACCAAAACCTTTTCTCGGAGACAATCATCAGGTCCAGTGGTCCTCCACCACCACCATCGCCAAACCTAACCCAAAGTTGTGATCACTGATCAGCGAATGAGCCATGGATGGTTCAGAGGGCTTCACCTTCCCCAGAATCAGTGACAATTGTCCTTTCACCATTGATTCGCCCCCTCTCTGGAATATCCCATCTCCATCTTTCTCAGCGGCTGCTACTGATCAAGACGCCAGAAAGGCAACAGAATCAGAAGCAAAATTGATCTGCGATGGCTTCTTGTATGAAAATGATGAGAACACAATGGACTTATTGTGGGAGAACTTCAATGAGGATTTGCATTCAACTTCTGCTTCTGCTACCTCCTCTTCCACAGAGGTGCTGTTCTATATTATCCATGCTTTGTTCTTTGTTGAAGGATTTGATTACTAGTATTGGTGTTGTGGATAATGATTTTTGTGTTGCAGAGCAGATGGTAGAAGCAAGGTGTGGATCAGAAGCACTAACGGTGGTGAAGAGCAATGGTTCAGTGATTGCATCAAATAGCTGTAAGCCTGGCACGTTGGTGCTTCTCAAGCTGTTAAAGAAGCTCTTCTCTGTCACCCATCCTCATAGGAAACCCACAGCCACCACTGCAGCAACTTGAGTTTGCCCATCATTCTGCAATCATGCTATTGGCCTTCTGGCTATCATTGGTTCCTAACAAGTAATGTTGCTCCTTCATTTATTTACAAATTTACCATTTTGCCTCTTCCATGTTTTTTTTTTTTTTTTTTACAGAAATCTCCCTTACAGCCTTACTTGATTCCTATTTACAACTTTTATGCAGCTTCTGGGACAAGAAACTCCTTCTTCATAAATTCTTGTTTTTATAAATATTTTTAGGCTTTGAAGCTTTTACTTTTGGCCAAACAAAGACACCCACACGCACACTCATAATAATAATTGGCATGAACACCCGTTAGTAGCATTTCAGCAGAGAGCAAAAACAGAGCAGCAGAAACACGCTCATAATAAAGCTGCCCAACTCTTGCATAATCAGACAAATAAGACGCTCGCAATGCCTGAACAATACACGTCATCAGACAAATTTGGGAGGCATAATCTTCCGCCTACAGTGTCACTTATTCTTGTTTAATCATCCATTATGTTAATTTTGATATTCGTTATAAAGTACAAGCTTGCTTTTAAATGGACTTCATTTGAAAAACTCAATGACACCGTAGACCGAAAGAGCACGAGCTTGTGTTCACAGACAATATTTAATTAGCTCCACATGTTTTTGTTCTATTGTTCACCAGAATAAATATAGGCATACTACTTCCAGAGCTTGTGTTCCCAAGATATTGTTCCTTCATAAATTAGTGAGAATGTTATTCTGTCTCTATAAACTTAAGAATTTGATCAATTAAGGGGATCCAAGTTCGAATCCGGTATAAGCAACGCTGGATGAATACAGCCAGCAGAACGGCCAGGCCAGCGCCAAAAGCTGCGGCTCCAATCATAACAATAAGATCCATCACAACTGCTGACGAATTTCCCTTAGGAGATCTTGGGGAAGAGTTGGAAGACGCAGTTTTGTTTTTGAGAGCTTTATTTCCACCTGAATCGACTTTAACATGAGAATTGAAGTCGGGAATAACTCCGGACAACTCATTATTAGAAAGTTCCAACTGTGTCAAAGCCGGCATTTGAGTGAGAAAATCAGGAATTTTACCAGAAAATTTGTTATTCGAGAGATCCATGATTTCCAGGTTATTCAAGCCAGCAAGAGTGCTGGGAATAGGCCCTGTAAAAAGATTGCTGCTGAGATTCAACGCAATCTGAAGATTCCATGGCATTTTTGGAATTAAACCACTTAGCTGGTTTTCTCCAAGTTGAAGTTCCATAAGAGACGCCATGCTGCTTATAGATGTGGGAATAGAACCACCGAGATTGTTTCGCTGTAAGTAAATCTTACTAAGCTTTACCAAATTGAACAGTGCTGGTGGAATGGTTCCGTTCAGAGAATTGTGGCTCAAATTCAGAGTTGACAACTTCTGTAGCTGAGACAGTTGAGTTGGTATTGGTCCAGAAAGCTCATTCCCTTGAAGCTGCAAGACTTGAAGATTGCGGAGCTTTCCAAGCTCTGCAGGCAATCTCCCAGACAGTTGATTCTGAGCCAAGTTCAACAAGGCCAGATTCTGGCAAGAACCCACCTCGCCGGGTATTGGGCCTGTCAATTTATTGGCCTCCAGTTCGATATACGTCAAACTCTGGACTGTCGAAAATGCTTTGAAGGTATCGTCCCATTCAGGGAATTACCCCCTAATCTCAACCTGATAATGCTAGAAGATATGACTGCAGGTAAAGGCCCGGATAACGAATTACTGGACAAATCCACATGCTGCAAATTGGATTGTGAAAAAAGGTCTGCTGGAATAGGCCCGGACAACTTGTTATAACTGAGATCCAAGTTACTAAGAAATCTCGTAATTCCGCGGGGAACAGAACCATCGAAGTGGTTTTCATTGGCTGCAAAACGGCGGAGGGTTTGGATGTTCGAGAGCGCACTTGGGACTGTCCCTCCAAGGTTATTAGAGGATAGAATCAAAACTTGCAATCTGGATAGATCTCCGATGCTGCTAGGAATAGAACCTGTAAGCTCATTTCGTCCAAGGTCAAGCAAAGTCAAATTTGTGTAACTCAGGATTTCAGCAGGGATTGTACCTCAAAGTGATTAAGGCTCAGCACAAGCTGCTCCAAAGCCCCGGAATTTCCCAGTTTGGTAGGGAGGGACCCATTGAAAGAATTGAAACTAAGATTTAAGCTCTTGAGGTTCCCTAACCCGGCTAACTGTGATTCAATTTTCCCTGAAAAAGTATTGAAAGATATATCCAGGGACTCTAAGGCATCAAATCCATGAAAAGTAGGCAAAGGACCGAATATTTTGTTGTAACTAAAATTGAGAAACTTTAACCCCTGAACCTTCCCACAGTCAGAGATGAAATCGTCTGGAATTGAGCTGAAGACATTAACAGAAAGATCAAGATGCTGCAAACTTTCGATCTGGCAAAGACGAGTCACAAATTCGGAAGAAGAGATGGAATTCCCAGATAGCGAAAGTTTGATTACAGAGGAGTTGGTGGGGTCGCAAGCGACGCCCTTCCACTGACATGGATTCGGGTGCACCTTAATATTCCATGAATCAGTCAAGCCAGTTTGATGAAGTAGTAGGGAGAGCGCGGTCATGGTACTGGTTTGGTTCCGGGATAGCAGACACAGCGCCATTGGACAGAACCAGAAGCACAGAGAAACGTAGAGGACAGACGAATCGTACCCATACCTGCCCATTTTGGAGCTGTCTGCTGGCGAGATGATCCTTCACCTCTGCAATCTCATCGAAGTCTTTGGCTTTTGGGGTTGCGGGCAACAAGTATCGGAATCTGGGTTCAGAGGGAATGGAACAAACAACAGTAATAGAGAAACAGATACGGCGGAGATTTAGGGGTCTGAGGATTGAATTTTGGTGCAAAATGAGGAGCAAGAAAGAGAGGGGAGTGTTGGGTTAAGGTGGTTTGGCCTGCCACTGCACGGGCAGAGACTTGGAAGAAGACTCAGACGTTGACGGAAAAAAAGAAAAGCGGTGTTTCGGTTTCATTTACTCGCTTTCTTTTTCTTGTGGGGTTTGGGAATAAATCTGGGTGCAGGGAAAGTTGCTGGAAATTTGTGGGATTGAGGAAATGGATCCTTGCTATGTTCCGAATTGTTGGTTCTACTTGAAAACCAAGAAAAAGAGAGAGCGGTGTTAGACAGTTGAGGGCATGAATGCTGTTTCAGGGCAGGTGATATGGTCAGCAACTACACGGAAGGACTTGGAAGAAGACGACTGTGACTCAAAATGCTGAATGTTGAATGTTCAGACCTGAGTAAGAGGATGAGGTAGAAGTTCTCCTCCCGTCTACAATGCGAGCACAGAAAGAGGAATTATGCTCCCCCACTCGCTATCTGGCAACTTCACTATATATGTTGTTCGACTTAATCACTTTATATATGTGTGTGCATGTGTATATGAATATGTTAATTTTGCCCACAAGGAGTCTGTCTTTGACTAAATAATAGATTTTTTTTGGGGGGGGGGGGGGATGAGATATTGGGGTTCATGACCCCAATTATCGTCAAGAAGAAAACATTCCATATGGAATGGCCACAGGCTATTTGTGGATATTGAAATAAGAATGGTTCAACTAGTTATCAAGATAAGTTGGTGAGTTGAAATTGAAGTGCAAGGGCAAAAGAGTGTACTAGTAATCAAGTAACATTTATCCAATTGTTTGAGCGAGCGAATTATTACTCCTCTTCATTTAATGTTGGAGTAAAGAGAAATCCTTCACTGAGAGTATCATTCACAGACCAAGTTCACTGATTAGAGAATTTTCCTACATTGTTCTCTATCTGGAAATTGTCGGTACCTGGTCAATGAAAATCTTTCTACGCTGGACTTGCAACATTATCATTTTATTTGAAGCTTTTTGCTTTTGGCCAAATTAAGGCGCGCGCACTGACACACTCATGATATTTGGCATGAACACCCGTTGGTAGCATTTCAGCAGAGAGCAAAAACAGAGTAGCAGAACCACACTCATAATAAAGCTTCCACATATCCTGACAAATAGAACGTTCTCAACCTCTGGACAATAAAGTCATCAGACAACTTTGGGGAGCATAACCTTCCACCAGTGTCACTTATTGTTGTTTAACCACCTATTATTTTAATTTTGATATTTATTATAAAGTACAAGCTTGCTTTAAAACAATTTTAATGGTAGATGGCATTCATTTATAAAACTCGATGACGCCGTAAACCGAGAGAGCTCGAGCAGCGACACGGAAGCTGGAGAATCCAGAGCTTTTGCAGAGCTTCTCGAATTGTTTCTCGGTTCTTTCCCTGCCCCCAGCTTGAATAAACATTGAGTTGTCCACAATGGACACATACTTGGCAGCAACACTTGACTCTGGTTCTTCAGGCAATATCATGTCCAAAATTATCACCTTCCCATTTTCTGGAAGGGCTTTGTGACAGTTCTTCAACAGTGCCACGCATTTTTCATCTGACCAATTGTGACACGTAGCCTGCAACATTGTCAAAACAAAGTTTGTTTTTGACTATTCATTATCAGCCTAGTCCAATAATATTTATTCACAGTAAATGTCAAACAATTAACAATCATCCTACCTTGACCATAATAGCATCGCCCTTGGGAACACTTACGTACATGTCTCCTCCAACATGTACGATCCCTTCACATAATTAGACAAGCACAAACAATGCAGCCCATCAGTACCTTTGAATTAAGTTAAAATTTAGTGCTAATCGGGAATCATGTTGAATGGGAAGAAAAAGTCAATATGTGAACTCATGCCCCTGACATGACGAATATTGTAACATCCCAAGATGGGGTTTGAGTATTAATTAGTAAGGTATTTAATTAATTTTCTTTTTGGAAAATAAAATATCCTAAAGTGAAACTAAGTATGTCTGTGTATAATTATGTCCATCTTTTAACATTTCAAGGTGATTGCACTAAGCTAATAAGCCCCGAATGAAAATTTTGATAGAGTTGGGGTGTTACAAATACATACCTGGATGGGGCGGGCATGTTCAATGACTTGGGGAAGATCAAAGTTAATACCCTTGATGTGAGGGTGCTTGGAGATTATCATTTGGAGGCTTTGACCAGTGCCTCCTCCAACATCAACCAAGGTTGAAACTGTTTGAAAGCCATCATACACTTCCAAATACTTCCTCATCTGAATTGCTGATATGCCTGCCATTGCCTTGTTGAATGTGTGGTTCAGCTTTGTCTCCTTCTCCATGTATTTCCACATTGTTATCCCATGTACTTTGTTGAACAGGTCTACTCCTCCATCCAGAATTGCTTCCTTTATGTTCAGCCTTCATCCAGTGATGCATCCATTTAATTTTAGGCATAATTTGAGTATAGTTCAGCACTCAGGTAGATCAATATTTGAATTCTCTAGAATGAAAGTACGTGAAGAATTCTTGGACCACATGTTTGTCTTGTCTGAGAGTGGACCTTTTATTAATGTGTCTGGGAAGTGCTTGATAGTTAAAGGGTTTGTACCATATGGGCTGGGCTCAGGTAAGATGCCCTAACCCACCCCTATATCCCATGTAATGTGAATGATTCAATAATTACTTGACTCTTCAATCAGAAAAAGACCCGTTAATGTCATTATAAATAAAACATGAATTTAAATTCTACAAGTAACCTAAATCTACTTACTCAATAAGCATCTCAATTATAGACTTGAATTATTTCAAAGTACATTTCAGTCTAAAAATTTATAACAATTCTCACAGTCAAAACATTCATCACACTTATTGTTTCATCTAAAAAATTGAGATTTGATACTTTTTAAATATTATATGACAAAATTTTTGACAACCATCTAATTAAATTAAATTATTATTATCATGTCATGTAAGATATTCATTGAGTGAGTGAATTTAGGCTGTTCACCTAATTCAAATCTAAATAACAGATGAAGTTTTGACCCAATGATAGTATTGTCATTTTCATGCGGCTAAAAGCCTTGGAGATGCACTAGATGGAAACAAACACCTTTTGTCCACAAGACATTTTGATTAATTGGAAGATAATAATTTAAATAATTGTTTGTCTTTTCTTTTGGACCATCTATAATAAACTAACTAATTAGATTGAGAAAAAGAGACTAACTAATTCAAGTCGATGGCTAAGCCACTGATTATAAGTGAAAATAATGGTCTCACGCGCACGACACGAGAATAAGAAGCGGAACATACCAAACCTTAACAGTAGCAGGATGGCACTGGAGGTTAGAGAAAGAGGCGAGGCTCTCAGTTTTAGACTGCAAGAAATAACTGCCAGCAAGAGACAGTCTATAGAGCCTCTCAAGCTGACCATCTGGATTGGTGCGAGTGGTCCAATCCAGAACCTTGAAAGAGGCAAGCACGCGAAGCATTCTGTCGAGCCTGTCATCCAACTCAGAGTGCTGCGCGGGAAGCTCAGAAGCAATCTCTGAAGCTGACAAGAAATCACCAGAAGCACTTCCTGCTTTCTCTGATATCTTGTCCAACACCTTCAGCTCTATGGCCGCGTTCAGAATCGCAGGCAACACCTGAAAGCTCGATAAGAGCATGGCGTAGAGGCATGCTTCATCATCTTCTTCCTTAGTGGGAAGCTTCACCTTCTGGTTATTGTGGCTGTAGTTCTCCGCGGAGCTCATGCTTGCTTTTGTTGGAAGCACAGCAAATTACATATGATATTGTTTGGCGAGCGACACTGGGTGAATGCCCATATATTTATACAGGGGTGGAGACCTAATTTTTTAATTTTTTTTATAATAAAATGTAAGAATTATATATTTTTGATTCCCTTGAATCAGCACATTATAGAAGTATGAAAATATAAAATGTAATTTTCATTTCAATTTTATATATAATCTTTCACACATGTACAATCTAATTGATTCAAAAGCTTAACTTGAAAATATAATTGTCATATAATCTACTTAAAGCATTGATGTAATCATTTGATTTCTGTTTCATTTTATATTTGATTAAAAAAATTATTAAAATTATTATTAATAAACTTTGTTAAGCATTAAAACAAAAATCACTTATCCAAAAGTTAAAATGGTATGATTGAGGTATATTCTTCTAAAAAAAATTATTTTTGTAATAACCAAACTATTAAAATTTATTATATAAATAATTTTTATTATAATAATCTTATATCGACATAAAGAATTTGTGGTTGAGCATTATTACCATATTAATATATCTATTTATTATAATTATTAATTCAAAGAATTAAATAATATATTCAATAAGCAAGTTATAGTTTTTTATATCGAACAAAATTTTAAATCCCAATGATGCATTTAAATCATTTAATACTGATGAAAAAAATGAAACCTTTGCCAATTTAATGAAAGTTTATATTGACAAATAAATTGCTAAAAATTTTATCATAAACATAATAATTAATTGTTCTTATATCATAAAAAATTGATGATCTAAACTTAATAAATAAAGATATATATTATTTTTACTATATATTTATAAAATTGAATATGAATATATTCGTTGAAATATTTATTTATGTTAATAATATATATAAATTTTCTTCAATTATTATATATATTTTGTTATCTCAACTTTATAAAATTTCTTCGACTCCGCCCCTTTAACTATGTATAACCATTTTGCAAACGAAACTCTTATTAAAATATAATATGGTGTTTGAAAAATGGTAGTCCAAATGTTATTATTTATTTGTATTGGTCGTCGATCACAATAGATGAACGATTACGTACGATATCAGGTTTTTACAAGAAATTCAATGTAGTAGGTTTGGTGCGACTTGTGCCACATTTAATTCCATGGCCATTCAGCTCATTTTGATCAATCAGCCTTCCGCGTTGGTATAATTTCCTTATTGTTGAAATTCCATACTCTCTCACACTTGACGTTTTGGATTTAATTAGTTTTATATATGGCCAATGGCTAAACAGGGTCTACAGCACGTCACGGCGGCTATGATTTTTCTTTTTTCTTTTTATTTTTTTAAGGTGAAGTCCTTGACTTTTTCGTTTTTTGACCAAAGTGAAGTCCTTGACTTTAAGGATACCGTTTCTTATTATATTTTATTGTTTTTATCCTTACGTAAGATCTTGACTGTCTCTTGCTTCGTAACAAATTAAAAGGGCTCCGTGTCTCAACAAATTGGGATAATTCCTCCTTGGAAATATATTACCACGAGTTTGGAATCCACATATTCTTGTAAAATTCATCATCACGAGATTCTTGTAGAGTTAAAATAAATAGATAAAAAGAAGTTATTAGGGAAAGTTAAATATTAATTACATAAACTTTCATTCTTCTATATTATTCTTTTCTAAAATTCTATATATATATATATATATATATATGTATATTTAAAAAAACCCTCTTATATAAATCTGACTTGAGTACAAAGAATTGTAATATAACGTATTTAATTATTAGCTAGCAGAGGCAATATTTCACAGCCAATGGACCAATATTTTTTTTTTTAAATAAATGGTTTGAACATTATATCGCCAATTGTGACGCCTAAAAAAAAAAAAGTACTTTTCTAGGTTCTAACATCTAAGTCTGACTATCTTTGTCGGGAGGAATAGCATGAACTGGGCCTGCTGAACAGGACGCTCCGTGCGCTCGTTCTTCAAGTCCAGTAGTGAACGTAATATGCAATTACCAAGAAGAAGACATCATCTGTTCTGCTGATCTTTTGGAGCCACTTTCTTCTAAGATATGCTTAAATTCAATATTTCATACCATAATCTTCTAAAATATATTCTCCATAAAAATAATTATTTGAACATTATGTTGCCAATTGTGACGGAAAGAACTACTTTTGAGGTTCTGAGTGTCACATCTTTGTTGGGAGGAATAATAATATAATTAAGGATCATTGATAAAAAACACCCAACAATTTTTTCTCTAGCAATATCCAGTATCCTTGAGCAAACAAATGTGCAAAATTGCCTATGAACTTGTTTTAATGAATACAAAAATCTCCCATTCCATTACAAAAAGAAGTAGATATAAGGAGCAAAAGTACCCGTAAACTTTTTTTCTAAAAGTTTTTAATATTTTAAAGTCAACAATAATACATGAGTACTAATTAATTTTATAAAACAGGTCAACCTTTCCCAATTATTTAAGCTTTATTCTTAATAATCATCACAAACAAGCATTTATATATTTTTTTTCTTGCACTAATATTTTAACTTTTTTTAAATACTCACATACCTAGCAAATGCAACCTAGAGCCCAAAAAATGAAATTTTCAATATAAAAAATGAGTAGTGCAAGTAAGACAAGAATACAATTCCCAATTGGCATTATCAATTTAAATACACATTACAATCAAAATAATGGAGGCCTGTGGTTAGGAATGAGATTCTTGAGCTTCTACTACTTTCCCTCAGTCTTGACTCACTAGCTTTTATAAATATTAAAGAGAGAAGAGTAAGTACAATCACTCAATACTTAAAGTATATCTAACTTATAGAAATGCATATAAATAAATTATAATGATACAAACAACGTACACAATTCTCACATATTTACATTTTTACAATAACAGTTTTTTTCTCACAATATTAACAATCATGTGATGAAAATATCATAATATACAACGACTATGTAGCCTTAATATAATATGTAAGGTCACAATAATAACAACTATACGATCATGACATGATATGCATGATCAATTTCATTTTTATATCCTCTTAATACCTCTAACATAAAACCGTAGGCTATTTCACTCAAAAGGGTTCGTCCATGTGTTTGAACTACCCAAGCCTTTCCATTCCAAAAAGTCGCCTAGCCAAGGCTACTACACTTACTTGTGGATCATAATTTTCCTCAAATCTCACACTATGGGTTATTGTATCTCTAAACTATCTTCCTCGTTGAACAAGTAAAAATTAATTAAGTTTAAGTCTTTCATTAAACAAGTGGGATAGTAATAATATAAAGGTAGGTTATTGAGCTCCAAATGACAGCCATACCATGTGGATTTGAAGTTTGTACTCCTATCTTTGTGCAAGCTCCCGCCTTTAATGATCATATAATGCATATATACTCAACTCATAGCATGTACTTGTCAATGGTCATATTACAGCATGCAATTGCTTAAACATCATTTTTCATGGCATGAAATTCTCATATAATCACATATCGCATGTTAGCCATATATATACCTATCCAAACAACTCTACTAAGCACCATTTACATTTTGAAGTTTTTTTTCAAACTCATTATCATCACATTTTACTTCTTTCATACAAACTCATAACTAAGATCATCTTCAAAACTGTTACTTAGAGATTCATTTCATTTTCACATATATTACATGTACACATTCATTTCACTTTCACATATATTACATGAAATTATTATCAAATTGCCACAAGTGCATCAAAAATAATTATCAAGCATCGCATAATTTTTCAAATAAGTTTATGAACATTATAATTAATTTAACAAGCAATTGTACAAGCCAAATTCCCTCAATTACGTCAAACTTTTAAGAAATCAAAGGTTTATCTCTCAAGACAATTACTTCCAAAGCTCTTGTCAAGCTTAAACAGTGCCAAGAAATGATTAATATATAATTAATCATACCAAAAATCATTACTATTAATGAGATTACAGCCCTTAAATCAACACTTTGAAGTTCCCAACATCCCAATCTCTCAAATATAAACATACCCATAAGGTTTATTAACTTCTTTTAGCTTCAATAAACTCTCAAACCATCATTAATGGCTCTCAACTATCACCAACAACCTCATTTATGGGCCATATTCGAATATTAATGGATTTCAATCACAAAAAATGTACAAAATCATAAACCTAAATAACATAAATGACTTCCATTAACTCTATTTAAATCAATGGGTTGAGACTCATAGCCTCAAAAGTCTAAAAATCACTCCTCCAACACAAACCCTAACTCAAAAATTCTCTAGAAAAGAAGAGAAGGGAAGGTTAGGACTTAAGAAGCTTACTTTTAGTGCTCACAAGCTTCAAAATGCCCTCAAATCTCTAAGATTGTGAGCTCCTCTCGTACTCTTCATTAGGATATGCAGCATTAGGTTCCTTCTGTTGAATATCTGTATCCTGTTCAGATTGAGACTTGCTACTCTTGCGTTGAACTTTTCCTGGATCATCAATACTTGCTGGAACAGGCACAATATGATGCTCATTATCAACCTTAGCTTCAAGGAAAGATGTAGTTTGGCAACTCTTGTCATTCTTGAACTCGATATTAGATAGTGGATAGCATTTATTTTTCTTTTCACTTCTTAGGAAGTCATCACATTTTTCTACATCAACTTGCTTCTCATGTAAGTATTGCATATCATGCACATCAAATGAGTGATCCCTATTATCCTTTTCAGAAAGATCATTGCATTTGCCATCATTAGCAGGCACGGGATAATCCTGTTTCTGAAGTGTCAGCTCACTCCTTTCTTTTAAGCGATCAGCACATGGATGAGTACCTTCAATCACTGATTCTTTCAGCTACTCACAAAACAGGAATTAGAGGGAAAGGACAATTAAATAATGTAAATAAAAATGGATTCATGTAGAAACAGATAGAGGGAAAAAAAAAAACAATTTTAATTTCTCTAGATAGTGACTCTTATCACCTGCTCCAGTTCCAATTTAATAGAGCCAGCCCTTTTGTCAATAAATGGGTATACATCGGGTTTTATACTCTCTACTCCAGCTATATCAGCACTTGACAATGGTACCTAATTAAAATCATAAAAAAAAAATGTATCTCACTTAACAATATACTTCCCATCATCAAACTCTTCAATGAACTAGCCGATTAAATAAGCAATCAAATTGGTCCAGCTTCTGAGTTCTGAAGCACGATAAAAGTAGTTACACTTCAAACATCAATTGACTAAAATTACCTCATGCAAAATTTGATGGAGGACATCTTCACAACTTCTCGAAACAGCAAACCCAAGTCTTGAATCCAGGCTAGAGGGAGCATCGAAGTTCAATCCACCTGCAGAACCAAGCGAGCCCTCCAAACATCTCCTAGCAACCAATTCTATTGTGTTTCTCTCAAAGTCACTGGGCACGGCAGGGGCTACATCAATCAAGTCCGGAACAGAAAATGAAATTGGGGAAAAAAATCATCGTGAATTATTTTTCCGTAGAAAAAACACTCATGTAATATGAAGCAGCTTGTTAAGTTTGTCTTACGCTTCATGCATACCTTGTAAAGTATAGTTTTCTATTTTCCCACAACTCACTAGGGTTTCAATGACCCAGAGCCATGGACGAGTTGATGAAGATTCAGATGTGTTGTCCATGGGCAACCCAATAGTTTTCAACTTCAAGAAAATCCAAACTATCTTCGTTTGTATGTGCCGCAGCAATGGTTCTGCAAAGTAAATTCATTTTGAGAGAGGGGATAGGAATAGTTCACACGCAACATGAGAATCAAGCTAATTCTTTTACATAAGGCAGAAAATCACATAACAATGGCCAAAACAGAATTCCTTCGACTAACAAAGAAGCTACATAAATCCCACTGCCCGAGTGGGGGAAGAATTTATTAAAGATGTTTGGCACATAAATTTATAACTGCAAGAACGCAAATATACCCAGAATTGAAGGCAATTCTTCCAACATAACTATAGAGACCCTGAATCACCAGATAAATGGTGATGTTACACAACCCATTGAATCAGAAAACCCACCGCTTGAGACAATCAGCAAACAATACGAGTCAGATAAATGTTTCTGTTAGTTTTAAAACCAGTGCACAGAGGAGTTCACCATGATGGAAAAGGATACAGGGCACAGGGGTTCAATTTGTTACAGGGAAAATGACGGGAGTACATAAAGAAATAAAGTTTATGTTTTCCCTCCGCAAAAATCTCAACAAAAAGGCAATGGAATTCTCGGCAACTAGCAAGACTAAAATTGGTTCCCGGACGGGGGGAGGAAAAATAAATAAGACTCGGAAAATTTCATGCCAAAAAATTTAATGGAATTAGAGATGATCAGGAACGTAAGCGGACCTGTACTACACTCAGTGTCGGTGGGGGCGTAGAAAAAAGCCCTAGGGTTAGAACCTTCTTCACTGCTTGGCCAAGAACAACCACGCAGGAACGACAACGGCGGACGGCATCTTAGGAAGTGTGGAATGCTTGCTCGACGACGAAGAGAAGTGGACCCGCTACTGAGGCAGGAGAAGCGTCGAGTAACAAGCACCATCTGAAATATGGAGGTCCATTTATCAGTTTTATTTTATATCTTATTAAAACTTTAAGCAATTCAGATTTAATTTAAATAATTTTATTTTAAATTAATTTTTTTAATTTTTATAAATTAATTATATAAATGTAGAGTAAATTTATTAAAATTTTATAACTTTATAATAAATATAAAATGAAAATAAAATTTATAAATTTGTAGTGTCCATATTTTTTAATTCCACAGTTCAGATACTTATCAAAACCGAACCGCAGGAGATTGGGTTCTATCGTGGTTATGAAAAGGAGCTAGACAAAAAATAAGAGACACGAAGAGGATGGCGGTCATTTCATTGTCATATCAGCACATTGAAAAAAAAGCACTAAAGATCTTGAAAATACCCGATGGTTAATTGCTGTCGATTAGTTATGATTGGCATTGTGGATTTCAATGTGTGGAAAATAAAATATGAATAAAAAGAAAAGGATACTGTTGAACAAGTCCAGCTGTACACCATCCCAAGTAAGCAACAAAGAAAAATAGCCAACAAAGATAAAGGACAAGGGGTTCAAACTGACTTGGGATGTCTCCACTTCACAGCTCTCTAATTTTTTTTCCATTTTTTTGAAACAGCATCGTTTTGATTACAACAAAATTAAAAAACATTGAAAGCTAAGCACCCTCACCCAGACCCAACATCTCTCCTCCAACCATTTCCTGCACACTATTTAAAATATTTAGACAATTTTGATTTTATATTGATGGTTTAAATTTAATATTTAAATTTTATAATTTTAATATTGAATCTGCATTGTTTAAAATATATTTAAATAATTAATTTATAAAATTTATGAAAAAATTAATATCAAATTAGATTATTCATATTAAATTTGAATTGCCCAAATTAATAATGAAACATATTATTAATTTTTTATAATTTTAATAAATATAAAAAAATAAACATTTTAAACAGTGTGCAGGAAATGATTGGAGGAGAGAAGTTGGGTCTAGGTGAGGGTGCTTAGCCGCTTTCAATTGTTTTTAATTTTTTTACGATCAAAACAGTGCTATTTTAAAGAAATGGGAGAAAAATGGAAAGTTGGGAAGTGGAAAGATCCCAAGTCCGGGTTCAAATGCCATTTAAAAGAGAATATCCCGGCGCCCACAAAGTCAAAGCCTAGGAAGAGAGTCAATGGGAGCTGGGGCTAAATAACCCAATATGAAGAGCACATTCCCTTTTCCACGATAAGAGAAACCTAATCTATAGTAAGGTTAAAAATTTATAGGATCCACTTAAAGCCACAAAGGATTAGTGTTTGCCCATGATTTAAATTAAAATCCACAATAATAAAAAACTCCCATTCTATGTATGAAGCATTACATCTCATGGCTTCTACCAAGGAAAACCAAACAAATAGATCCAGTACTGGTGAAAATCTCATAGAAGAGCAACACTGCAGGCACTAAATCATGGCTTCAACTTGACTATATAAAGGAGAAATAGAATACACCTTCATTGCAGCAACCTTAATACAACCAGTAGCTAGCAAATGAACCACAACACCACAACAAGAACTATTTAAAACATTATCAATAACACCATTATGGAAATCTAAAAAATCAAAATTAGTAGTAACAAAGCAAATATCATCAAACTTGGGACCCTTAATAGCTGATTATGGATCTTTGCTATCCACATTTTGAGCTTTCATTTCATTGCCACACCAATTTTTAACAGCCTAAAATATAACTAAATATGTCAAAGCTAGTTTCCAATCAAGCTTCCAAACCATAAAATCAACAATAGGATTCAAAACAACATAGATCTCCATAGCTAGAGGTACATTAATTTGATTGACTGTTGACTTCAGCCATGCTGATTACAACACAAAGGAGAAAAACAACTAAAGACAAAGCATGGCTTTCTTTAACTTATACCAAATCATATCCACAAATGGCAATATGTAATTAGATCTAACATAGTTGGCATATATAAAGGATTGAGGCACCTAAATTGGTAAAATCACTAGTTGTTCTTTAATAAGCTTAGAGACATACCTCTCTAATTTCTTACTTACATTGGGTTCCTTAAATTCATTGAGCCTCTTCTCTTCCTCTAGTAGTCCAACCATCTCTTCCAAAATCTCTTTCACATCATCCTTCCACAGTCCTGCTACCAAACCTCTTCCAACCCCTCTCTCATAATCATTTGTCGAGCTTGTCGATAAAGAAATCTTTTGTCTTAGGATCATCCATTTCCTCATTGAAGTCTTAAAGCCTTTTAACCCTGACACCAGCTCCATTACCACGATTGTTAGTCTCAAACAATAAATCCAACCATTATTCATCCTCACACACCACACGGTCTTCTAGTTCAGCGATGCTAGTGAGATGCTCTGATTTCAAAAGAATTCTAGATATTATTGCCAAAACATCACAAACTAATTGGGGAAAAGCTTCATCGTATCAAAGATCTTCAACATTCCTAAATCATTACCAAATTCACCTAAGAATATATAATATCTCACTCAACTAAATATAATTAATCATTAAAACTTATATTAATCAAAGATTACTCAAAGAAGGATTACTAAAGTTTAATTTAAAAGTAAGGGATTTCAAATTTTTCATAACCATAACCAAAGAGTTTAAAACGATCAAATTCTCTTGTATCAGAGTAAAAATAAGTTACGGAAGCATGGGATACCTCAAAGGAGTGAAAGAAATTGAAAATATGTGAAAAAACTCTTTTAAAGTGTGATAGAGCAGTGCGTTGCAGCTGTGCATGCTGCGCCACGCTATGTTACTTTCTGTGCCACATGTCACGACTCAATCGCCATGTGCCGTGGCGTGTTAATTCAGCTAATTCTGCTATCATTTAACAGCAGAATAAGAAACTTTCAATGCATCCCGATTCTCCATCCAACATTCAATTGACATGATCTAGGTGTCGACGAAAAGCTCTTAACATGAATTAAACTAGTGGCCATAGATTTCACTTCTAAAAAAATCACACCAGGAAGTTGGACACCTAAATATATTTTAACCACTTTCTCACACTTTTACATAAAAAAGGATTTCTAAAACCCTAACAAGTGCCAAAAGTCTTTCTAACACTTGGATCATATCCATTGAACTTAGGACTACCAGTATAACACATAACACACACTTAAAACCACAGTAAAACAAAAAATACTCCCTCAACCCCTTTTTACTAAAAACAGAAGGGGAGGCAATTTGTCATTGCATTGTTCTAAATCAATTTAAACACTGTTCAAATCATCATTTTTTACACTTGCATTAGTATTTTGGCCCCATGAACATATATATATATCTCAACATACACAAATACTCAGGGGGGCCGAAATACAAATAAGACATTTGCAATAAAAAATAGTACAAGTAAGATGGCATGTAAATTAAAATTGACAAACATATATTATTACACAAAATAACTAAGCTAGAGGCATAGAAAAAGGAATATACTATTTCTAGCCTCTTAAGCCTTCTCCCTCTCTTGCACTAAATCTATAGCTTGAAAGTATTAAATGAAAGGAGTAAGTCCAACCACTCAGTAATCAAGGTAAAATCTACCCCATGCAGTTATACATCAAATTATAAAGCATACACATGCCTATAAGACTAAGCACACAAAACATGTTTACACACATTATAACTCATCATTGCTCATTCTATAACATCTTTGTCTCACATATACTAGGTACATTGTTATCATATTCTCAGATATGTGATCATGACCCCTTTTTCATGTCACTTGCCACAACTCAACACGTGTGACACCGTTATATATTTATTTAGGCAATGATCAATCAACCTTATACCCTCCTTATTTTCTCAGATCGAAACTATATCTATAACACTAAATAAGGCTTCGTCTGTAATAACTAGATTACCCAATCTCATCGATCGTGAGGTGTCACTCGGTTTAAAAATTACATGACTCACTCTTAAACCACAGCTTCCCCCATTCTCAAATCTCTGGGATGTATCATACCCTAGGTTACTCTCTTCATTGAACAGGTGAAGATGCCTAGGTTCTAGTTCCTTGACAAATTATGGGATAGTCTCCCGACAAACTGTGGGACAAGGCTATACTCCTATGCATCGAAAGGCAGCCTAGATATCATATGGCTTTTCTCTACTACCAATTCCTAAGTGAACTCCTGCCCACTGATCATGCCATAAATAGCACTCATTCATTTTGACATATTTATTTTCATTTTTCTCATTATCACAACAATCACATTGAGCTCACAACTATGCACTACCTAAATATGTATCCTCATATTTTCTCAACATTATTCTCACTTATTTCAAATCTACTTTTTATTAACACACAATTACCTCTACACAACGTCACATTCATTTTTCAAATGTTTAAGCATGTTCATAGTTTGAAACCCTCTTAATTTTACATTTTGCATTTCAACAAGCCAAAATAGCATTATCCACATTCAAATTTTCATATGTTCATTAAAAATCAGTCCCATTCACGTAACATTCACAATTCACATTTAACAATCAATTGATATATAACTATCCAAAGTAGGGTTCCCTTAGTTATCTCAAACTTTTGAGAGATCAAATGTTTACCCCTCAATCTACTAGCTTCTAAGCTTGAATTTTCAATCCAATAGATGACCAAAAGCCAAAACTACAATGAACCAAGTTAAATTTTATCAATATTACCAATTCAAGCATTAAACCCTCAATCTCCACTTCTAAATTGCTCAACATTCACTCCACAAGAATTTGAGCCTATCCCTAGGTTTATTAATTACCTTTAGTCCTCAATAATATTAATGAATCATTAAATTTCATTAATTGCATCACAATCTTCTAACCACCCATAGCAAAAAATTTTGGATATTAATAGTGCCCAACAACCTAAGGCACTAAAAATTTATTATACTAGATTTAGATACTCTAATTTACTCCCATTAACTCCATTTGGATCAATAAATTCGAACTCATAACCCATATGAATCAAAAATCCACTTTCACTATCAAACTTTAATTATAAACTCATTAATGTAGAAGAAATGGAGAGATTAATGAGTGTGATACTTACCTTGGGTGTTTGTAGCCTCCAAAACACTCTTAATGTCGTCCACAAGTAAACCTTAGCAGAGTTTAGTGTGTCTCTTTCATTCTCTCTTTTTTTCTCTCTATTTTTTACATTAGTTCACGCATTATTTCTATAGAATTTGCACCATGCATCGTGGCACACATCCCTACACACTGTGACATGTGGTACAGAGAAGATAACTCTCACTTGATGGCCTTGTGCGATACGACATGTGACATAGAGACTTTTTAGCTTGTTTTTTTTTCCACTTTTTGGCCCCCAAATGACCCAATTTCACTTTGGACATATGTTATACCTAAAATTTCAACTAAAAACACTTATTATTCTCCTCTAAACCACACACCACACTAAGCTACTTAATTATCCTTATTAATTTTAATAAATCAACTAATTAAAAATTGGAATGTTATAAAATACCTACTCAGACACCCCAAATCCAATACCCATTGACATACACATCCCCCCTTACTACCCACATCAACCACACACGCACACCTAACCTACATCAGAAAGGGGATGCAACCAAAAGGATCAATCTCTCCGGGAGAACCCTTCAAGATAAGGGGAGGGCAAAGCCCTTGCATAAGAAGTCAAGTTTAATACAATGTCTTTTGAAATAGACAATTTTTTCTCATGACACTATATTGGATCAATTACATAGAATAAACAAGTTATTATGTCAAGGATAAATTACTCACTAGGTAAACAAAATCTTATATCTAAAAAATATAAATCAAATTTTAAAAAAATTTAAAAGTATGGCTAGTTCATATTAATATATAAGGAGTTTATCATTGATATACAAAGGATTTATTATTGAAATTTTGAAATTTTATAAAAGGTGTATTATTGTTATACAATGGTATATCAGTAACAAATATAATAAACTGATCATAATGTAAAATATAAAAAATATTGAAGCGTTTGAAATAAAAACATGAACTTATTCTTTTCCCAAACGGTCATTTATTGTTTATCCTTATTTGTGAATTATTATAAATATATAATGTGTGGATGTTCATAAACTCTACCAACTCCTCCCACATTTCTAACCTCTCTAATGAATGGCCTTAGGAGTTTTTATTATGTTTAATACTCATAATTTAAAAGATTACATATTGTATATTGATGTGAATTAATCTTGTTATTCAATAAATTATAACTCTTCAGTGAAGTTAGAGCCTGTAAATAAAGGCCATGTACTACACATTGTATTACCTATGAAAAATGAATATTACTACCCCTTTATCTCCGGTCCTCTTTTATTGGTTCATTTTTTTTTATCTTAAATCTCTCTTATATTTCTCCTAGTTTCATAACATGAATAACTTTCTCACATATTTTTTAACGCAATCTTCTCTTTTTTTTTAAAAAAAAAAAGGATCAAATAGATAAATACAAATGCCCACACGTACATTAATATCCACCTTCCCTGGTATGAAAAAGGCTAGGTTAGGTTTATGCCTTTCCAATCTCCTGTCATTCTTCTTAAATTTTCTCTTCTTTTTTCTTTTTTCCTGGATTAATATGAGAGAGAACGACAAAAGAATATTTCAAAATATGCAAATCATAATTAAGTAATGCACAGTATAATAATTATTTTTTAATTTTTAGAGGCTTGTCAGGCATTTTAATTTTTGACGAAATGACATATTTGCTCTTATTAGCTACTTATGTTTACGGAATGACTATTTTAATTGAGTTATTACCTAAAATATGGTAGAAAATAATTACTTTCTTTCTGCAAGTTTTGTTTATTTGTCAAGTTCAAATACTAAAAGTAAGTAACTATTATATGTAAGAAAAGGCTTTTTTGGTAGGACTGTTAACACAAATAAAATATAGGATGACAACTACTTTTTTTATATTTTTAATTTATAAATGAATTAGAAAATAATTTTCTTTTTTATGAAAAAGATCACTTCCTTTGTGAAAATGATTCCTTTAATTACATTTGATTGTGAAACAAAACTATAAAAAAAACAGTCATTTTCTGTTTTATTTTAGTACTTAACCTAATCAAAGTAGAGCTTCATAATGTATAATAATCATTAAAGACAGCTATACCATTTTGTGATCAAAAATCAAAATGTGGGAAAGTACCTATAAATTAAATAATAATTATTGCATTTCATGATATTTAACTATCATTTACATGGGATTTTTGTCATTTTCCCTTTTTTTTTTATTGTC